ACCCGGCGCGCGGGAGAGACGGAAAAAATGCCTGGCGCGTCGCGAATTCTGACGCTTCATTGAGAAACGGCAAAGCAAACAAGCCTTTTAATTACAATAATTGATATATATCCTGCGGGCGCTGCACGTTAGTTTGCTCGTTCGAACTCGAGCTCGCGGTACATAGGAAGGGAGAGAGAGAGAGAGAGAGAGAACGTTTTCATTACGATACGTAAATGAACGTTCACTTCGACAATCGCGCTTGCATACAGCGATTCATCGAACAGTGCGGTGCATCGCGCGAGCGCATCAATGGATAGATATCTCTACGAATTGCACACAAGCACACATAATAGAATGTTACATACATTGCACGCACAAAAGAACAGCCGAGCGGCAGTGCGATTCGGGGCGCTATCGTTCCATAGCGCTGCTGCGTGGGACGTTAGTGGCACTTTTATAAAGTCAACTCTGTGTGCGCACCGCAGTCTCGAGCGCTCGGCACGAGGTGTGGCTGCTGCTGATGCAGTGTATCTCGCGCTGGGCCCCTGCGCCACACTCGATCGCAGCTATATAGCATGGGTTTTTGCGCCTGCGTGCGATCGTGTTAATATTATACGCGTGCGAGAACGCGTTAAGATTTATCGCTCGTTGTTGGTTTTTTCATTTCGCGAATATTTCGGCACACGCGAGAACGATCGCGTGTCTATAGTGCAGTATGAAAATGCAACTCGAAACCTCGAGATACGTAAGGATCCCGGGCCGAACTACACGTCTCTTATCGGCCGCTCCGCCGATTTCGACGTATACAATGATCGATCGTTCGAAGTCGAATTTTTATTTTGCCTCTCGCGATTCGTCGATCGTGAATATATTTTACGCCTTTCTCGCGCAGCCAAATGTTCGGATACTGCGCTTCGGTCTCTCGTGTTTATTAATTCGCAAACATTTGGGCATGTATTATAGACAAGCGATCGGTCTTTTTGGAACTATATACGCGCCTCGAGTGTTGCTGCTACGCGTGAGTTCTTTGACCGCGCGCTCGCGAGAAACGGCCAAATATTATCGCTTCGGCGATTGATTGACAGCCGACTAGCGTTTGACGCGCTATTTTTCTTCAGATATTAGGAGCTCGATTGAAAAATTTACAAGTATATCAAGTAGATCTATATCGCGGACGTCATGCTGATTCGTGTATGGATAATCGTATATCGTGCAGTGAATGTGTATGTGTGTGACTTTTAGTAGCAGAGATGTGCATATACTCGAGAGCTCCCGGTACTATGCTTGTATGACGCTGCAACGCTGCTGCCCTATATTATCGAAGCGCGCTTAATACAGTTATATGCAACACTCGACGCGCTCGCGGATCGGGTGTTGAATTACCCATAGGCACGAATGTCTTCGAGTCGTTCCATTTTGTAATGAATTTCAATCTCCCTAGCGACGCGACGACGACGACGACGACGAGTTTGTATACGTTTTGTACGTTTTGCTTCGAGTTACAAAATGCAGCAATGATAATTACGTACGTGAAATGTCGCGGCGCGCGCGATCGGCGCGCATTAAAAACGACACATAGACACCGTACCCGAGGGAGAGAGAGAGAGAGAGAGAGAGAGTGAGAGATAATAATAACTTTTCAATTACACTCTGTCGCCGTCGGTATTATAATAATAACACAGGTGGCATTATACGGCGTTACAAAAGGCGAATGAAAATCTCATCATCCCGTCGTCGTCGTCGTCGTCGTCGTCCGCGGCGTCGTAATTGCACCACGTCGTCGAGCCTCGAGCCGCGCGCGCTCCGATCCCAACCGAACATCTATAGTAGATAATTAAGCAACTCGAGCGTGCGTTTGTAAAAATACGACTCGAGTGTGTCCCCCTCCGATTTCATATATATAATACACGCACCTGTGCGCCCAGCCATCGTCACGTGTTCATAATGCTTGCGTATACGCACTCGTACACGCATGGACGCTCGACGCGCGGATTTTTTTTTTGCTGCAGGAGACGATATAATACGTACAGGTGAAGCAGCGGCAGCAGCAGCGGCACGACGAGCTTTTGTTTGCTCTTTTCGCGCTTCGGCGATTTAACGACTCGAAGCATATAATAAGCGCGCACGCGAGAGCAAAAATTTAACGAGCTGTGCTGCATGTGGATGGAGCAGAGCGAGGCTTTGACGATTTCATTGACACTCGTGCGTGAAGAAGGAGGGGAAGGAGGAGGAGTGCTTCCCCATGCGCTACGGTGCATGTGCATGTGCAAGCGTGAGTCATTCGCGCTTTAAAGATCGCGAAACGAACAAAAGAAATAACGATAATAAACGATGTCGTGCGCGCGAGACACATGCGCGCGGACAGAACATTCTGCGCTTGTCACTACTCGGCACGTGTCAAGCCTTCTTTTTTTTCTTCAATGTTTCGTACAAATTATGCGCACGCAACGCGTATATCGCGTAGTATCGTCGCAGTAAAATTTTCACCTGTGTTGAACACGCCGCGTCGACCCTCGCGTTAGCGTTATTGTACGTAGCGATTAAATCGCACACTCAGCTGTGTATTATGTACTCCCGAGGGGCTTGTACTCGCACTTTACGGTAAATCCTTTCTCTATTAATCAGCGCGAGCTTTTTTAACTATCCGCGTCTCTGTCTATATCTCCTCTATCTCTTTTCCGAGAAATTATATATATACGCGATTGAAATTACATTAGAGTCGAGCGGCAGAGAGATCGGCAAGCGATCCTTGACTTTGACGAGGATTTGAAACGTAATAACGAGCCTGTCTATAACACGATCGATCGATCGAAAAAACTCTCTCTTTTTTTGACGACTAGGGGGGAGGGCCTCTCGTTGCTTATTATATTATTTATTAATATGCGCGCGCGACGCGACGCGAGAAAACAGTCGAATTAACCGCGAGCTCGCGGCGCGCTTGTAAGCATTAAATTTTACGAGCAAAGTATCTGCTTTTTTTTCCTCGTACATTAATTCTAATAAATTCATTGCGCGCGCGCGCGCGTGGGTATGTGCGCGCAGCTCTCGACAAGTACGCGGATATCATATTATGGTATACGTGCTATACATTCGTTTACGACTTTTACCGGAAGTAAAGTATTTTTTCTCTTTTCGCGAGAAATATCTCGCTCTCGCGCGCGCGCGTCCCTGCTTCCTCCTGTACCATTAAAGAGAGCGCGTGTGCGAACTGCGCTAATAATAGCTCGATATAAAGTTCGACGTCGCCCCCGAGAGAACATGGAAAACGTCTGGATCTCGAGCCAGCGCGTGTTGATACTTCTTACGTGTATTTGCTATCTGTATTAGTTTATTTTCTTCTTTGCCCAATTTTGTTTTTACCCTAATAGGTATCGGGTCGAAATTCTATACTCGCGAGCTGAAGTGGATGTTCTAGTATCAACGTGGAAATTAATAAAAGATGTTTACGTTTAACGTGATTGCAATGACAATCGAAAAATAAATAATTTGGACGCGACACGAGACGGATATGTCCCCATTGCATGAGCTTGGCTTATTTATCGGTCCCAACAAGTGTAATGACTGACGAATGATATTCATAAATGATAAAGCGATTTTTGTAGTTATTATTTAAAATACACATTGAGACATTTAAAAGTAGTGAAACTTTTTCCGACGAACAACCTGAACTTTTCGTCATGGTAGTGCTGAAGCAATTCATTCTATGATATACAAATATGAAAACTACATTCTCAATTTAATTAAGAAAAATAAATGTTCGATATCTGAACCTGTAGCGCCATACAGGTAGATAAACACAGTGCATTTTCAAACATTTTCAATTCATATTAGAATCTAATTTCTGATAAGAAACTCGATTTATAGTAGATTTTAATTAATAGCGAGAAGTATTTTTCTTGGGTCTCGAAAATCAGTTCTACAATGCATATGAGTATAGCATCTGTTTGGATTTATTTTGATTCCCTCCGATTTGAAATTACACGCTAGCGCACATGCGGCGCTTGTATCTTTGCGCCTCGACGACGACGACGACAACGACAACGATGACGAAGAGAAAAAAAGAAAAGGTTCGATGGTATCTCTTCGTCTCGGCAACCCACCCACACGCACACAAACACATGGCGTGCGAGTTGAACATTATTCGCGCTCCACGCGGTCGTCGTGCGGGTCTCTTTATGCATTACTCGCGCTAAAAGCACGTGTGTGTGCGCGCGCGACTGCAGCCGCCCGTGCGGCAAGCCAGCAATAACAGCTATGCAACGCGCGCTGCGCAGCCCCTTTAAAAGGCGTGAATCATTCTGCGGTATTTGCATCCCTTTTTTTTTCAACTACAACCGCTGCACTTTGGCTCTCTCTCGCTCTCTATCTCTCACGCACGAGGCGAATTAGTCACTCGAGCGAGGCGCTTACATACACGCACATACACATGCGCATATATGCTATACGCGCGTGGCGTTGAAGATTTCATGAATCGCGAGATTACGCTTTATTTAGTCTAGTCTCTTGTATATATGCGCGCACAGTCACATAAAGCTGCAGCAGCGGCAGCGGCAAAAACAGCTCGAAATAAAAAAGACTTGAAAATAAATGTTTGTCGTCGGATGAGAGAGGTCGTTCGCACTCCCTTCGTGCGAATTCCTGCGGCTCACTGATATTATACGTATACATGTATATCGGTATTCGCGAAGTTCGTTTACCCAACTCGTTACGTAAAATAAGAAGAAGAGAAATAATAAACCGATCTTGGTGGAAAATACACAGAGAGGGAACGAGAGAAAATAAAAATAATTGAAAATTTCATTAGGCGAAAGTAAAAAAAAACTTTAAAAAATTCAAGGTTTTTTGAGAATCAGTATAGCGATTTAAATCGTTACAGAGACGTAGTAAGGTTACTCAACTTGGATCGGAAATTATTATAATCAATATTCAGCTGCAATAAGAGCAGCAGGATGTGGAAGTTGTTAATTTTTTGGTTAATATGATTGTAATACAAAAAGATAACAATGCAAGTCAATTAATGAATTCAACTTTTTATTATAAAATGATTTATTTCATAACATGCTTATCATTACGCCGAGCTTCGACCTAAAAATGCCAAGCAAATGTTCCACAAATCTTTGATTGCCAAATTGTCGATGACGCTTTCGCAGCAAAGAATCGGCAGCCGGAAGTACGACAACTCGTAGAAACAATCCGCTGCCCATCTCCGGAAAAATCTTCTCTTCAGCTCCTCGCAGAGAGGCACAATACAAGCCTCCGCATACCTTTGGGAAAGCTCGCTAATTTTTTTCGAACGCACAAAATCGAAGTGGTGATGCACGAGTAATCTCCCTGCCTCTTCGGGCGATAGTCGGCACAGGTCCTGGATCGACAGATTCGGACCTATCATAGTATCGTTGTATCTCATCACTTCTTCCATTAAGTCAAATGCGTTTATGTATTCTACCAACTCTCCGATATCATCCTCAATTCGGTCAATATTTTCAGGAACATTTTCAGGAAAGTTCGCCCTATTCTCGTACAATCCGAGCCTATCGAAAAATGACATGATCTGCAGAGCGTCGATTAGTTCCAACTCGTATCCTCCGTTTTCAAGGCGTTCGACGACGGCCAGAGCATTGGCTGCCAGTCTCAATTTAACATAAATAACGTCAAATTCATAGTGGTATCTCTGACCGATTGAATTCGCTCTAGGAAAATAGAAATTCCTTTCCAAATCAGCACCATGACGTATGAGTTGCTCGACGGTATGCGGCAGAAGATTCTCTATAGCTGTTTCCAGCGGCGTACCGGAAAAATCATTCACGGCTTCCACGTTCACCGGCCGCGTGCTGAGCCTGAAGAACGCGTCCACCAAGTCATCGTCCTCGTCTCTCTCGCAAACGAAGTGCAGAGGTGTAGATCGATTCTCGTCGGGCGCATCGGGAACGGCGCCTCTCGTCAGCAGCAATTCCATCACCCTCCGATCGTAGCTGACGGCCCAGTGCAACGGTGTCTTGCCCCAATTGTCCCCGACGTCGAGCTGCACCGGCAGACGTTTCTCGTCGACGACCTCGAAGAACATCTCCGCCAGATTCCCGCCGCCGTCTTCTCTCTGACAGATGTAGTGCAGAGGCGTCTGTCCGTCGCCGTCCGCTAAATTGGGATCGGCCCCGTGTCTCAGCACGAATTGGCCAACGATTCCGTGTCCTCTCATCATGGCGCAGTGCAAGGGCGTTCGACCGCATTTCGTCCGGGCGTCCACCTCGATCGGCTTGTATCGCTCGTGGCTGAGCTCGAACACCATCTCGGCCAGCTCTTGGTCGTCGGCTTTCAGGCAGATGTCGTGCAGAGCCGTCAGTCCGCCGTCGTTGGCCAAATTCGGATTGGCGCCGTTACTCAGCAGCAATCGGGCCAAATTTCTGCAGCCGCTGGACAGAGCCACGTGTAGCGCTGTGTCGCCCGACGCGTCCTGGGCATTGACTCGCAGCGTCACGCGAAGCTCGGCACAGACGTCGATTACCCTCCGCGCCAAGATGTGGCTGTCTTCGGGATGCTTGCAAATCGAGTGCAGAGGAGTCGATCCTTTGGCATTGGCTGCATTCGGATTTGCTCCGTTCCTCAGCAACAACTCGGACGTCTGCACGCGGCCGTTGGACAGAGCCGCATGTAGCGGCGTGTCGCCCGACTTGTCCCGAGCATCGACTTGCAGCGTCACACCGAGCTCGGCACAGATCTTCAATAACATCTCGATCATTCCGTCATCTCTTCTCATGCAAATGATGTGCAAAGCTGTCGATCCTTCATTGTCGGCCATATTGGGATCGGCGCCTTTTCGTAGTAGCAATTCGACCAACTTCCGGTTGTCGGAGTTCATGGCCAATGCCGAGTGCAACGCTGTCCTACCGTGAATGTCTTGGGTATTGACTCGCACCGTTGAACGAAGCTCGTCGCAGACGTCGAAAAACATTTCGGCCAATAATTCATCGTCGCTATTTCCTCTCGTGCAAATAGTGTGCAGAGGAGTGTATCTCCTCGCGCCGCAGAAATTTGGATCCGCACCATTTCGCAGTAGCAATTCGGCCACCTTGCCGTGCTCGTAACGCAGAGCTAGGTTCAGCGGCGACTTCTCGTCCCTCGTGAGGCAGTTGGGGTCGTGCCCGAGCTCGAGAAATTTTTTGACGGCGTCGACGCAGCCAGCCGCACAGGCCACGTGCAAATGAGTACTGTCGTCCCTGTTGTCGATGAAGTTCACGTCAAATCTGTTGTAAATTTTGAAGAGAGCAAAGGCAACGCGGCGCTTCATTCGTTGCCTGAGCACTTGATGCAGCGGTGTGGTGCGACCCGGCGCTGGCTTGCCGTCCTCGCCGTCTTGGGGCTGGTCCTTGTAGCCGCTGCGAGCCACGAACGTAACGAACCGTTCTTGCATCAGGCTTAGTTCGGTAAAGTTAGTCATAGAATCCATGAGAAGAACTTCGATTTCTTCGGGACGAAGGACGCCAAGCAGATCGGGAAGTCGACTCGTCCACTCTTTGATCAGAAGATCTAGTCGCCAGAGAAGGGTTCGTCGCTCGTCTGCTTTCGTAAAATCGACGTTTTCTAGTAAGCGTCTCAAACTGCTCAATTTTTCTTGGTTTACTTCGTCACATTGCTCGATATCAAAATCCCATTCATCGCTGGACGAAGCCATTTTTTCTGCGAACTCACACACACACAATAAACAAAAGTCACTAATTATGATGTAAAAAATATTTTCTTCACTTGTGATCGCTCGCTGCAGTCGACGAGATCTATCTCTGCTGCTCACACTACTGCGTCGTGATCTTCACTGAGTCGAACACGTGTAGTGGCTATGTCTAGTTCTATGACTACGCATGGGTATTACGGTCCGAGACTATGACTACGCATGGACACGCCCACCCAGTGAGATTAGATTCGATCAAATTCGATGTCTTATTGGGCTATGGAGTTTCCATGAAAGAGAAAGGCATAGATACACGATGCTACCAGAGACGTTGCAGTGTTAAGTGCAGCAGCCTAGACCAACTCAAAATTGAAAATTTTTTCTAGACAAGACTAGACAAGTACAGACTTGTGTCGACAGATTTTGTCTATATCTACAAATTTTTGTCGTTTTCACACCTTTCACTTCTGGGCCACGTGCTTCAATATTATTACCTACTTATTCTATGTAAGCCGCGAGCAGAAGTTCCTCAAAAACACCGGCCACTAATTTTGCACGATGCTCAACGAGCTTTAAAAAATTCCATCACTTTTACAAAAAGGAAACAAAAAAATTGAAAGCGAATCCTCGTAATTAATCGATTTATATATATTCGCGTTCCGACTGTTAATGATCAACACGGGATATTACATACTCGCTCGCGCGACCACAACAACCATTTACTGTACGAACGAGCTGAGCGGGGGTATACGTTGATGATGGATCACATTTTCATGGGCTGTCTCGCGGGCGCGCGCGCGAAAGAATGATTAAAAGCCCGCGGAGTACATCTCGTTCGCCGCATGCATTTAATATATAGCACGGTATAAATCGCTACGTTGCGTCGAGCTTGTGCTCGAAAGAAAGCGAACGAAATTTCGCAAGTTCCAACGAGCACACGACGAAGCGCAGTTGAGATGTATATACGAAAGGAGGAAGAAGAGGATGTGACTTTCTGCGCTTATACATATAGCATGATTATACATATAGGCAGGCGACAGATACGTATCGAAGATTAGCGAAGGAAACGAGGTGTATGTATACCGATGTATTTTGAAAGCCACGTACGGCGATGCGACGATGGGCGGTGGCGCGTCTACGTCTGGCTCGCGTCCTCTCTTTATTACACTTTGTTGTCTAGTTTTGAAAAAAATCTGCTCGCAGCTACAACACGCCGCACGCGTCATTTAACGCACGCGGAAATCGCACTCGCGCTCCGGGGCCCCCCTTGATATACCCATATACACACAGCAACACAGCCCATAAGCATAATAGCTCGTGTATAGTGTACACAAACACACACGATATTTATAATGTGCGAGCAACACAAATATCAATGTGTATATATGAGCAATTCTCTAAATGAAACGCATTTTTGGAGGTAGAATCGCGGCAAATTTTTTTTTCAACCTACGCGGATACGGACCCCCGGGAACTGTTTTTGGGGGTCCTAGGAACATGTAACCACGTAGGAACCATTGAAATTTCAATAGTCCTTATTTTCAGAGCTACTTTTGTGATTTAGAGGACGAAAAGTCATCTTTTCACGCAAATACGACTTATTACTCGATTTCCAAGTCGCTGAAAAAGTATCAAGACTCATCTAAAAAAAATAACTGGCTACTGTGTTCGATAGGAAATTTTCTCAACTTTCTAATGGTGCTATCAGATTTTCCGATAAGTCGCACATTCACCGAGAAAATCGCCATCAAACGTGCAAAGCTAAATATCTCGAAAAACTCGGTACGGAAAAAGGGATCTTTGATGTCTATTTTTGATTTTTCCTGTTGAAAATGAGATTTTTTGGAAAATCTGATGGCACCATGAGAAAGCTGAGGAAATTTCCTATCGAAATCATATATTCATTTATTTTTTCAGTGGAATTTACGAGCTAGTTTTGATTGTACCGAGCCGAAAACCTCGCGACCGCGCCGAATCAGCTCGGAAACAAAAAGCAGCGAACAACGTGAAAGAAATTCCCATGTATAACATTGTAATTCGAGTCAAAAAATAAATGAAGATATGCTTTCGATAGAAAATTTCCTCGGCTTTCTCATGGGGTAGTCAGATTTTTCGATAAATTTCATTTTCACAAGGAAAAATCAACAATTATCCAAAAAGTTCACTTTTTCCGTACTGAATTTTTCGACATATTTAGCCCTCAATATGTGATGGCGATTTTCGCAGTAAAAATTGGGTATTTCGGAAAATCGAATAGTACCATCGGAAAGCTGAGAAAATTTCCTATCGATATCACAAGTCAGTTAAATTTTTTAGATGAGTTTTGATACTTTTTCAACGACTTGGAAATCGAGTAACTAGCCGCATTTACGAGAAAACATGATTTTTCGTCCTCTAAATCACAAAAGTAGCTATAAAAGTAAGCACTATTGAAATTTCAATGGTTCCTACGTGGTTACATGTTCCTAGGACCCCCAAAAACATTCCCCGGGGGTCCGTATCCGCGTAGGTTGAAAAAAAAATTTGCCTCGATTCTACCTCCAAAAATGCGTTTCATTTAGAGAATTGCTCATATATTTCGCGAGAGAAAGTTCGTCCATATTATACGTATACGCGTGCTGTGTGCAGTCGCGGAGAGCCCGCGAGAAAAGAGTCTCGAAAGATTAGACTCTTTAGGCGCCGGCGTGTCGATCTCTCATATACGGACGCCGGGGCATGCAGCAGCATTGCACGCACGGCACACAACACACACCGCGTACCGAAAGTTTTCACGAACGTGTCTATACAGATATCGAAGGTAGCCATAGGAGTAGTAGTAGTAGTAATAGTAATAGGCGCCGCAACGAGAGAAATCGGAGCCGCTCATTTTGCGGCTTTGCTGCGGCTATGTGTATATATTCCTCTAATATAATGCAAATAAACGCGCCTGTAAGCAATGTGTAGTAGCATATTATAAACTTTGGGTAACAAACCCATATGTCTAATTATCCTTTATGTAAGAGCGTCTGGACTTTGCGTGCGGACAAAGAGCATTGGCGGCGGCCGCGAGAGTTCGATCGACGCCTGGCCGATTCTTTTCCGATTGATAATCGACGCGGTAAAAACTCGTACTTAATGATTCATCGTAATAACGTGACTGGAGCGATATACGCTCCGTGCAGTCGAGCAAAACTGCCTCCAGTGATAACAAAGAACTGCTGCTGCTGCTGCTACTCTCTATATAGGGTAGAGAACGAGAAGTGCCAACAAAATCAACTTTTCACGAGATCCTTGTTTCTTCTTATGGCTGTGGCTGCTGCTGCTGCTGCTGCTGCCTGCGAGAATCACGACACACCTTTATGATCTGCGCTTCTCTCGGTCTTGGTTCTCGACTCGAAACGACGAATTAAATAATCACGCTCCCGAGTATTGGCACGTCTATATGATATGTTATTCAAATCGCGCGATCCTTATAAAGCGCACGCCACACGACAAAGCCTCTCGATTCGCCGAGCGAGACGTTCCCGAAGATATTACCGATGCAGCATAAAGGCGCTGCAGCGTGCGAAAGCCCACCAAGTCACGTTATTTTATTTTTATATTTTTCTATTCGTTTCTTCCAACTCTTTTTTTTTGTCACAAATAAAAATACATTGCCGAGCGCGTAAAGTAAGTTCGGTACATATTTACGTAAATATGCGTGTAGACCCACGCCAAGAGACTCTTGGAAGAAAATCCATACTTAATTTGTTTTTCCATCGTTATATACATATAGTGGAAAGCAGCAGACCAACCGATGAGAGATTTCATATTTTGAGAGATGAAAGGGCATAATCGGCCGCACGGATGCGCCCGCACATGCTCTCGTCTTTCTTGTGTGTGTCTATTACGCGGTGAAAGATGACAACAAGCCCGTAACCGATTGATTGGTTTTAACGAGTAACTATTTTTACGCACGGCACGCAAGTCGAGTTCGACTCGTGAGAGTAAAATTACGCGGGTTAGGAAAAGCACTCGATCGCTCGATAAATAAGATGTATATACGTTCGAGGGATAATATATTGGAAGCCTTTAGCGCTGGCGCCCCTCGCGTATACGATCTGTGCGCGCCTCGAGCTCGCAGTAAGAGAGAGAGAGAGACAAGTCAAATATTCCGACGTAATTACCACGACGTAATTATCTCGAATGATGGCTTTTTTTTAATAGTTTGCTTTTATTTTCGTTACATAATGACACCACAAACACACACGAGCGCTCCCGAATTGGATTATATACACACACACACACGTATAATATGTATGCATAGAATACGAATTTTGATTTTGTCAGGCTTCATTATGCGCTCTCGACTCGCGAGCGCGACTACATATATGACTTTATGTAACTGCTCTCCGCGCTAGCTCTAGCTATATCATACGTATTATATCTAGGTGACAATTTTCTTTCTCTGCTCCAGTGTGTGTGTTGACTGTGTCACGTGTAGGTACCCCCGTAATAAGAAGCAAATGCTCTCCGATACGTCTATTAGTTAATTTGATTTATACGCCGAGCTAATAGGCCGTTTCAACCGATTAATTGCCTTACACCGCGCGCTTACGCCGCTGTGACAAGTAGTATTTATTATTATAATCTCTTTTGGCTCGCTGCAGCGCGCGACTGCATTCGGCTTTTATGCAACCGAAAAGAAAGAGGAAAAAAAAAAAAAAGAAAGAAAGAAAGAAAGAGCAAACAGAACTCGAGGCAGGTATACGTGTATTCGGTATATATCGACAACGAGGCTCGTTTGGGGGGGCCGAGCCGAGCGATGAGGCTTATATGTAAATTCAGTCGAGCGCGCGGCCGTCTGTACACAATTTCGCAAATTGTTTGCCCCGCGTCATTTTCTCTCTTCTTTGTTTTCCCGTACCTATACCTATACGTCTCTCGTGTGTTACGTACGGTATGAGAATAAAAAAAAAAAGAAAGAAAGAAGCAGAAAGATAGAATAACGAATTTTCCCCACATAGTAAAAATAGATGCGATAAAAATGATGTGCGCTTTTTCCGTCAGTCACTCGTTTTATATAAACCCTATATCTCGCGATGCCATATCGTATAGATCGAGCGAAAGAGAGAATAGATGTTCGTTTATGAGCTTCGAGAGATGTTGTTAGGGATGTATTTTTGTGCGTTTGTGCTAAAAAAAAGAGAGAAAAAAAAGATGAAAAAAAATGGAAAGAAATAAAGGAGAGAAAATAAACCAAAATAGCATAGGAGGCATGGATTTGTAGAATTGACAAGCTCGTAATTACCGAGTTAACCCAATGATCTCGTTTTTATCTAATCAACTTGGCTAAAAAAATAAAAAAAATTAAATATCAAAATAGAAAAGGAGAACGCGTTATGTTATAATGTTTTTGCACGCGTGAAACAACATCTCTCATAAATTCGTATCACTAATTCTTTTTTTTTTCAATAATAAGCGACAAATAAATTCGTACAACATGGATAGTCAATAAAGCTCGCGCGTACACGGAGACGTGTATAGCTATAATATGTAGGTAACGCGAGCCGTATTACAGGCGTCTAGACGTGTCTCTCGCACAAGCTCGCGCGTCGTTCTCGAATTCAATTCACGCACCAGTAAATCGCCCATACATATATGTACGCACACCCACCCGCACCCACACTCTCAAACATGTAGCTTTGTAAATAACTTTGGTTCTGTTTCATCTTTTTTTTAATTTTGCGCTTATCTGTCCGACGCACAGGCACGACGACGGATCTGGTGCCGCAATTGCTGGGCATGTTCGACGAACTGGCACGTGCCGCCAACAACAACAACAACAACAGCATTGACCACCACCACCACCAGGTGACGACGGCCGCCGGACTACAGAAACGCCTGAGCCTCGTGCAAAAGCGCATGTCGCGCGTCTACGACATGCCGAGTTTACTGATAAGCAGCAGCAGCGCTAACAATAGTAACAACAGTGCCATGAACAACGAGCAGGAGGACGGCGACACAGCAGCCGAGGACGGCGACGACGAGGACGTCGAGGAGGATATGATGGGAATCTCGCCCACGACGACGCTTAGGTAAGTTAGACTCGTTTTATTATATGTATGCGCACGTAATTATATATGCGCTCGCGTTCAAAGGCTTACGTATATAACTATGCAGAACAATCATTCAGTTACCGATCTCGTTTATATATGTATAACGACGATTTTGCTGCGACGACTTCGTATAAATATAACGTATACGCGCGTTTATACGTGATTGAAAAATCACGCGTATACGCACACGAGTTGTCAAAGACCCAGACGGTTGATAATAAGCAGGCCATGTACACAGACACACGCGCACAGGGACGGAGACACCCGGTCGGTCTCTCAAAATGAGGCTAACAACTATTAGATTGTGTATATGCCGTATATAATACGGTTTACGAACACGCATGCACACACACAGACAGACACAAGCAGTGTATTATTAATTTGACATTTATCCGGAAATATTTTCGTGTATGCTGCTTTACAGGCGTGCGATTCGTATATACCAGCCTCGAGCGAGCGAGAGCGTACGATAATGATATTTTAGCTCGAACACGAGCTTTATCAGCAAAGACCGGCGATGAATAAGTATATCTTGTACATACAAAGTGTGTGCATTATGTATATGAACGCGGTTGTGTGTACGTTCAATATTATTTATTCGCGAAGCGCAATGACGAGATATCGTTCATTCGCACGAATTCAATAAGTCTCACTGGCGCCACGCGAGAAAGAGAAAAAAATCAAAAGGCGGTTAAAAATTTACGCCCGATCGGGTAATTCGTATGTAAAAATATGTATTTGTTAAATTGTAACGTTAACTTATTATTAGGAGAAAGAATCATTTTGAATCAAAATATTTTTTTTCTCACTCTGTAATTTCCCCTGTACACCGCGACGACGAAAACAACATGTGCGCTCTGTTATGTACGGTATGAGTGCGTAGATACGGTCTCTTTCCTTTTTGTACGCTTCTCTCTCTCTCTCTTTACCTCTCGTTTCCGAAATAAGCTTTCGCACCCGCGCGATCTCGCCGCGCCTCGGTTAACCCGCCTCTACTCTACGCATATCTCGTGGCATGCGCTTTTGCTGATCGTCTTCGTTTTTGAGCTTTCTTCCTCCTTTGCGCCGCCGAGTTTCTCTCTTTTGGGACACGACCACGACGACGACCGACGACGAGACGCGCGGCGCGTTAGAGAGAGAGAGAGAGAGAGAAGAGCTGCACGTTAGGCTCGCTCACGTATATATATAAAGCGTATGCGTACACAAGTACTAAATAACTGCCTCGAGTTGCACGACACCCATTCACGAATATATGCGTATAAATCGAGCCTATAATGCGCGCAGCAGCAGCGGCGCTCGCTCTTGGCGTCGTCGACTCTCCCCGAGACTGCAGCTTTTATAAAATACACGCGGTCGTATGCAGTGGGCAAAATTTTCGCCCGTTTAGTTTAGTTCTAGATACCGAACCGTGTGTGCTGTGCTGCTGCTGCGGCTCACAGAGCATAGTTGCACACCGCTAGTCGCGCTCCGAATTTTCAGACTTTTGGCAAGCTCCTCCCGCGGGGACCGACGCGACGCGCGCTACGGGATGTGCGTATTAGTACGTGTGCGTCGTGCGTATTTCGGCTAGCTCCGAAAATTTTTGGCTGTTTACGTCGAGGAATCGAGGCTATGCATATACTACGATAATACACACGTACGCCCGCTCATGTTTTCCTACGTAAGAGTCCAAAATGTTCGCGTTCAGGTAAGCCCATCGAGTGTAGCAGCACCATATTTTATCGTATATATATTTTCACTATCTATAATAAAGCGATTAATACGCGCGATCGAGAATTCTCGCCTGCGTCCGCGAGCGCGCGCGTGACGATTACGTAAAAAAGGCCATCTTTTTTGCATTCGAGCGAGACTTTCGAGAAGCTTTTAAAAAACGCGCGCGTCCGAGAGAGAGAAACGCTGTAAGGTGTTATATATCGGCCCGTTGATTATTTTCTCTTAGCCTCGTTCACACCTGTCGGTATGTATATAAAAAAAAAAGTAAGAAAGGAAAAGAAAGAACTCTGGCAGTCGAGATTATACTATATATTATTATGTACGTACGAGAATATACACTCGCGTTGGCCCCGTACGCACAGCAGCGCGATTATTTGTTTAACATTTAAAAGCTTCGTTTACGGTTCCGTCGTCGTCGTCGTCGTCCTCCGCGACGTCCGAGGCTAATGCACAATATAACGCGCGATTTGCCCGTTGCGCTTTGTGCATTACAAATACACACATACACAGCGAAGCTCGCGTACACATAATATATAAGACACACCGTTAATCGGCTTTTATGCATACATATTCTTTCGTCCGAATAATGTGTATCGCGCGCGACGTAAAGCGCACATGGGCTCGCCACCGAACGCGCGCATACAACGAACGATGAATATCGCGCAAAAGTGTGGCGCGCGCGCGACATACCGCGAATACCGCGCAGCGATTGTGTCTTGCTGTCTCCGCGCGAACATTTTTTTATCTTACGCGTGCATGCACGTATAAAGGTATATAATATTATAAGTGCCGAGTACGTTAGATCGTCCGATCGGCGAGGATATTTTTTAAGCTCAAAAATTCCACCTTAAAAATTTCGGATTTATAATTCATTATGTATTATGCGAAGACATTATTTAGACTTATGACAGCATATCCAAATAGCGAAAGTTCGCGATATTCGGTAACTTTATATCCGTATATAATGTTACGCGCGTGGGTAATTAATTTCGACGCCTCGTGCGCGCGGCCTATCTTTCTTTTCTCACCAAAAAAAAAGCGAAAAGCAAAAAAAGGAAAACAAAATCACGCATCGAATAGCTGAGAAGATTATCAATACGATATAAAAAGCGAAATCATTATTAACGAACGTATAATTGAAATTCGATGAAATTTCGTTCCAGATGCAGCGGTAGCAGCGGTAGTCGTCGCAGGCGTAACGGAACGAGCCAACAGCCACAAAAGTTACTACAACAACAGCAGCAACAACAACAGCAACCGAATTCCACAGGCAGTCGGCCGGTCTCGGGCAGCTCGATATGTTCCACATCGAGCAGTGGCAGTGGCAGCACGTCCGCGTCGTCGTCCTCGAGTTGCATCAGCAGCTGCGACAGCGGCCACTACAAAAACAACAACAATAGCCATCATCATCATCATCGGCGCTGCTGCAATCGACAGGGCTCCAATGCCTCGGCCACGAGCAGCACGACGACGACGACGACGACGACGACGGCCGGCGGCGACGGTGCTGGCAGTGGCGTTGGTGGTGCAACGAATCCGTATCTGGCGTCGGTCGAATCCCTCGCCGACACTTGCGCGAGTTCCCAAGGTAAGCGCGTGTGCAGTTTATATGCATTATATATACCTCCTCATTATAATTCTCCGGGGCGGCGGTGGCGACGGTGCGGGAGACTCGACTTTCTCTCTGTCTCTCTCTCTCTCTTTGGGACTCCGACGTCCGATAAGTGGACTCTCGTTACCTTTTTTTTTCCTCTTCTTTCTTTCTCTCCGAGCTCAGAAGAGAGATGCTACGCAGGATATACGCGCGCGCGCGTTGTTGCGAAATAAACGCGGCTATAACGACCGGCGATGATACGCGGCCGGAGTTCTGTGGAGCTGCTGTGCGTTTCATAATATTTGCCTGAGCTGCATTGCGCTTATACACACACACATACACGAATGCACGAATATTTACTCGCCAAAGAGAGATCGAGAGTAAGAGAGATATAGAGTTCATAGAACTCCCAGAGCTTTTCCGAAATTATCGCACATGCATACGCACACGCGCGCGTGGACTTGGAAATGCTGCTGCGCTCGTACACATAGACGCTCGACGAGCGTGCCAAAGATAGCGCGCCCTCGTCGTTGTCGTCGACGTTGTCGTATACGCTATACTTGCAATAAACGCGTATAATCATGCGAACTTGCGCCTCTCGTATAGAGAACCCCGTGAGCGAAGGGAAAATAAGAGAGAGAGAAAATTTTCGTGTATAAATCAAAATAATTAATTTATAACCCTGTGTGTGCTTCTCGAAGCTGCTGCTGCTGCTGCTCTCCGAGCAAATAATCCGAGCCCGAACTATTTCCGTGGCGATAAATCAGCGAATTTTGCCGTATTATATATGCTTGCACACACGCGTATACATACGAGAGACCGACCGACTGGTTAAGCCATGAGAGCTCGGTTGTTGTTGTTTTTTTTTCTTCATTCGGCATTATTATCGGTAAACGCGCGCGATATATTCGCGGGGTTTTTTTTTTAACAATTTTCTGCAGCCGGCATCTCTCCGCGATTGCGATTCGCACATGTACTATATTATACTTTTATGCATACACGCACACACACGCAATTCTGTATCTCCGCGGAGTGGTCGATGCCTTGAAAATTCTCCTCGAAAATGTTGTTTTACATAAAACTCCGCGGCAGCGGCGGGGCCCGCTCACGTGCGACGCGGCCACAGCAGCAGCTTTCACTCTCTTATCTTTAGGAAAACAAGTAGCAGAGAGCTGCTGCGGCCGGTTGGCAACTCGGCCCCTGCTTGAAATATATATTGTTAATGGCAATTCGGAAGCTTCGAGCATGATATTATATTTTGTTAAATAAGTGTCTCTCCCGATATATCGTATGTGTAAGCCCACGATGAAACTTTGATTTCTTTTCATTTTATTCAGGATCCGGTGACAGCGGCTGCGTAACGACGATATCCGAGACCGAGAGCCAGTATCATCATCACCACCACCATCATCATCATCATCATCATCGTCACATGCTGATAAACGGCAGCGGTGGCGACGGCGTTGCCGACAATGATAATAAAAACAACAGCGGTGGCATCAGCGGCAATAACAACAACAACAACAACGACGACAACAGCAACAACGACAAAAGCAGCAGCAGTAGCAGCAGCAGCAGCTTAGCGACGACGAGCCAGCACACGGTAGTCGAGCGCGTGCTCCAGGAGATCGTCAAGACCGAAGCCGATTACGTCGAACATCTGCGACAAGTCATTCAGGTACTGCTGCTACATGTGTATATACTACCTATATATGCCGAGATCGGCTACTGACTCTCGGCTGCTGCCTCTTGGCTACTGACTATCTGCTACTACAACTACTACTTTACTTTTTTTCTTCTTCTTCTTGGCTGTTTTTTTTTTGTTTTGCCTATTTATGCCTCGAGTACCGGTTTTTCGCTACTCGTACGTGCGTATCGCAATGCGTGTATATATAATATACGCAGCGTATACGTGCGTCTGGCACGTTAAGCACAGCCAAGGCACTGGCAGTATTCGCTTTTACGGGCTTTGACGTGAAAAATTTCTATGTATACGCGCGTTTACGTATGCGTAAGCACGATCGAGGCTCATTTTTTCTCTCTCTTTCTCTCTCTTCTTTTTAATCCTTTTTGATTGCATCGATAAATTTATATGTATATTTTTTTGTGCTCTCGCGCACGCAGGGTTACTTGATCATTTGGAGAAACGATTCGATGGCGCTCATAAGCGATCGCGATCTCGACGGGCTGTTCAGCAACATCGAGGACATTTTCGAGTTCAATCGGAGCTTCCTGTCGGCGTTGGGCCAGTGCGGTCTCGATCCGATCGCCGTGGCCAATGCCTTCATCGAGCATAATTCCGGATTCGAGGTGTACACCGAGTACTGCACCAACTATCCCAGGTATGCGCGCGTATTAAAATATATTATATACGGCTTCCCTAGAAATCGATGAAAAAAAACATAATAAATAATTAATTTTATTGGCCGTACTAATATACTTATATCCCTCGATTTTGCAGAACTGTGGAGATACTGACCAAATTGATGGGCCAAGAAGAGACGGCTCGAGCATTTGGGGAGCGACAGGCGGCGCTCGGTCACAGACTGCCTCTGGGGGCTTACCTACTCAAACCGGTGCAACGTATTCTCAAGTATCATCTGCTCTTCGAGGTGACTGATCTCCCACTTCACTTCTTTATTTTTTTTTTTTTTAATCTTTCTTAGTATAGATACTGCCGCGAGTAAAAAATCGATTCGATGACTGCCGCGTATCGTTTTACATTGATACTTTGCGATTATCGTGCGTTCGAAGCCGATAAATATACAGTCGATTTCTAAAAATAATATTTACGTAATGCATGTGATTGATTGACGTCGAATATTGTATTTAGTATGACAAGATTATTAAAGTCGGCGATAAAACGAGCTTCAACAGCATTTAAATCCGGATGATAATTCTCTCATCGTAAATTCAGAAATTATGAACTATTATCTACGTCTAATTTAAATCAATTCGCAACAAATCACTTTCTCGCCGCTCGATATATTAATAATAACTCGTCAACCGTGTAAAACTTTATCTGTAACGACGACGATAAATTTTGCGCAGAATCTGTCGAAGGAATTCGAAGCCGACGAGGACTCGCCCACGCGCACAGCGATCGAGTGCGCCCTGGCGACGATGACCGGCATCGCCCGGCACATCAACGCGATGAAGCGCAAGCACGAGCACGCGGTGCGAGTCCAGGAGATACAGTCGCTGCTGGAGGGCTGGACGGGGCCGGATCTCACTCAGAGCGGCGAGCTCATCGCCGAGGGCAGCTTCCGCTTGAGGGGAGCCAAGGCGCCTCGGCATGCATTTTTGTTCGATAAAATGCTACTCCTCGCCAAAAAGCGAGAGGACGGTCACTTAGTTTATAAAACCCATATTCTGGTAAGTTTGTTTTTTCCCTGAACGAAGAAAGGACTTTGCATCAGAAGCTTTAATTATGGTTTTTTTTTAACTAGTGTTCAAATTTAACGTTAATGGAGAGTATTCCTGGCGAGCCGCTTAGTTTCAATGTGATACCGTTTGACAATTCGCAAATTCAATACACGCTACAGGCACGAAATTTGGAGATAAAACGCGAATGGACCCTGCAGATAAAAAATGTGATTTTAGAAAATTATAGCGCAGTCATACCCTCTCACGCGCGCGAACTCGTCCTACAAATTGGCCAAAAAACCGAGGACGACGCGCTAGTACCAGTGGACCGTAGTTTTATCAAAAAGTCGTGGGAGTACAGTAGTACAAGAAAAGCCGACCGAGATCGACGAAAAACGGATGTTGGTTTCAAGCAGAAGTTGAGGAAAGGACGAAAGAGCGACGTATCGTTAAGCACCGCTGATGTAAGAGATCAAAATATTTTACATAAGCACACAATTTCGTTACGAGCTTTTTTCTTAAGGTGAATTTGATTTTCTTTGCAGAATTCACCTACGTGTTCGCGAAAGAATCAGTCAACTGAATCAATCAGCCAGTATGGTTCCAGGGATAATAATCTTAATAGAAACTCCGAGGCTCGAGCGTCAAAGATAAAGGTTTGTAACGGGCTGGTCTTTTTCATTCTTTACCTGAAATATCGAATTCTTCGGTCTAATGTTTCATGTATATTAAATGATCGCTATAAATTCTTACCTTTTTACTAAATTTTTAACCATATCATTTAGGATCGCTTCACCAACTGGCGAAGAAAATCCGAACCTGGGTTCCAATCTTACATAACTATGCAACCCTCGGATAATGAGGAAGCTGACAATAAAAATTCGTCGACAACAGCAACGGACGATACACCGAGCACGTCGTTGTCACCGGATGCAGCAGAAAATTTGGCAACTTCGACGCCTATCGAAGCAAAAGAAACCAAAGAAGCCGTCCAGTCGCAGTCGGAACCAGCCACGCCACATCCTCAAAGCGACGAGGCTATAGTCGGCTCGATTCTTATGCAGAGCGAAGAATTCCGCCGGCGATTGCGTCAACATCGCCGCTACGAAAGCTCCGACGACGATAACGAAAACGAAAACAGCACTCCAAAGACCAAAGCGCGTTTTAATAAACGAGATCAGTGTTTCGTACGTGCCATCCATGCATACAATCAGAGAAGTTTTCGTTCACAGTACGATAGTTTCAGAAATGTTGATTCGCCCTTACAGAGACAAAATTCCACCCCTATCGTTAAGTCACCCCAGAAAAAAGAGAGGCTAACATCGGATAGTGGATATAAAAAACCAAATTTCGTTACGGAGAGTAAACTGATTAAGACTGCATTGCGAATACGAGAAAGCTGTGATTCCGAAGAGGATGAGGCAGTGGAAAATAAACAGGCGTATGTGAACGAAACATCGGATAAAAACGTTCAACCAAATCATGATGTCCGAACAGGCACGAATGAAAATAAGGTCGAAAATAATGAAAAAGGTAAGCAAACTTTCTCAAAATAGACTAAAATGTGACAATTTGTTTGTATGCGTATATTGTTTGTTTGTATGTTTATATCTGAATGTAATTTTATTACTTTTAGATAATTATGGTAACTACGACAATTTGCAACCGGTATGGCAAAGCTGCCTCGAAAAAGGACCGGAAAACAGCGAAAAAGCTGCTGTTTGGTTAACTAAACTCTGCGTAGGATTACCTGATCAGCCGCAAAAATGTGGATCTTTACCACGAAGTTTTCAAATGACCGATGGCGCTCAGCCACCGCAACAGCAACCAACGAAATCTCGATTTTTGCAGCGTGATGGTAAATCTATGACTGATCGACCATTTACCATTGCTTCGGATAAGCCGGCGGAGATCAATCTTGAAGACATGGAGAGGTACACGACGAACTGTAAGAGTTCCAATAGAATAGCCAAATTTCCATTAACCGGTGCTTCGTCGTCGTCGACCTTCTTCTGCTCTCTAGACGAGTCGTCTTTCGGCGATGCCGATTCGGTTTCGAGAACGAGTTTATCGAATAGTACCTACGTGCATCCTGATCATAAAATTTATCGAGCTAACAATGGCACGACAAATAAAGGTGAGCGATTAGTTCTATGCATAAAAATTTATTTCGTCCAAAAATTTGATATCTAATTTTTTACATTTCATTACAGATACGAGCCCTAGCATCAGTAGTACATATCTCAGCGTATCGAATCTTACTCGTGTGCTCTCAAAAGCAAGTAGTCGTTTGCAGGTGTTAAAATCCAGTCAAAGCTCTGAAACACTCGACTGTTCCGAACAAATTAGTCCTAATCGTAGCTTTCTTTCCAAATTCCATAACAGTAATAGTAATAACAGTAGTAATAGCAATAGTATCAACAATAGTAACAGTAATAATAATGCAAAACAATCGAACAATACTGGCGCATTACCGTATCACAAGCAAGGCAGCTCGACCTTGGGTGCACGAATTGCACAATCCGATTATGCCGATCCTGCAAGCTTACGAAGACCAAAAATAATAGAGCCACCGCCAGTCGAGAGTACAGACGATAGCTTTTATGAGCGCTCGTTCGAAACAATCGAGAATTACGTTGACACCGAAGACGCGTCGAGAGACAGCGCGATTTTTAGCGATAATGACGATATTCTTCACAGCAAAGTGCCACCGCCAGTGCCTAACAAGCGAAAAGTCAAAAGAATTGCTTCCGAGAAACCAGCGGTTACGGAAAAACCTGCCCATTTGAAGTTTAAAACTAAAATAGTCAGGTGTAAAGCTTCTAAAGTCACTAAAGAAGAGAAAGCATTGGAAAAAAATATTAAAAAGGACGATGACGTGTCTGCGGGTCAGAGTCAAATAGGGTGGGTCAAGAAGATGGTTGGACAGTTGCAAAGTCAAATGGATACGTGAGAATGGTTGTTACACCAATGGTGTGAAATACGAGTATGTCACTTGTAATCGAGTAAAACAAATTTTCTCTTCCAGTTATAGATAGAATCAATTTCTGATCGTTACTACCAGTTTGTATGTATTTTTTTCTGTTGTATAAAGCGTAGAAAATAGTTTATATTTTTGAATTCTACATTGTAAAAATGAGAAATGTGCAAGACGTAAAATCAGGAATATATTGATTTTGTTGCAATATAGATAAATGTTAATGCGCTATGAATCAAGAGTCAGATTTAATATAAATAACTTCAGCAAATGATCTACTAAAAGTTCATGTATTAGGCCATATTAAAGATTATTGTATGATTGTTATATATGTGTTATTCTACTAGGCATTGAAATTATGAAAATTCACTGAAAAATTTGCTCATCACTTTTTTACGTGTATTATGACTTGATGTGATTTCACAATTTAAAGCTCGTTTTCAAAATTATTGAGTTGTGTGATCGTGAAAAAGATTAAAGTATTAGTGTTTGCATACTTGAGCGAATGGTATTTGTTTTAGTAAGTTTCCTTCTGCGTGAAGTTGAATTGTAAATTTTTCAATTTCACGCTTAATATTATTTGTAAGTTTATGAATAAATGACTTCATAATTATTTGATTTATGTAATATCGTGTGCCTTGACGATATAATCGTATGAGTAAATATATCAAAGATTTCAACAGAAATCATTGTAACGTGAGTAAGTTTTAATTTATTTTAAAATTCTTCTTATGAAGGTATCGAGTTTCTCGATGACAATCCGAATATATAAACCAAAAAATTATCTATTCACGGTTTCAACTATTATTCTTGTAAAAAGAACACGATTGTGATGTTGTTATTTTAAGTATTGATCAAGAAAAAAGCTTTTTCGTAATCTATAAATTGATACGATTGACAGCTTGTAAATTTCATGGACGAAAATTGTTATTAAAAGTAACTGAGAAATTTATATTATGAGTACAAGTGTGTTGTAGTACACTGAATTAGAGCCAAATATTTATCGATTACATGAGTGTGTTTTACCTATTAATTTGAAGTACAAGTATGAACGTTTGTGCAATAAGCTTTCGTCATAGCAGAAGAATCCCATTCGTAATACTTACACTTGGCATTTTATTAAAGGTTTTGAATTAAAAAAAAGCTTGAGATGAAGATAAGGCTGAACCTAATGCAATTAAATTTCGGATGGTGCAAAAGCATTTGTTAGTTTTTTCCATGAACGACACCCACTATTGTTGGCCATATAACTGTGCGATAAGATATAATGTATTTTTAACCATATCATTTTTTAACTTTAGCTTTCAAGTGCAAAAACATGCTAATTTTTTGAATCCATATATACAATATATGCATATAATTATATATGAATTTTACTGTTATGAATACTGTGTTAAATAGTCTACAAGTGCGTATAAGGGTACAAGTACATTGTGTCTATTACCATGCATTAAATCGTTCAGAAAAAGCATGTCTCATTGTCCATGAAATATAGGTTTTATAAAAGATTGCCATCAGTTTTAAATTTGATTCATGTATACATTTGTCCGTTTATGTAAATTTTTAACGAAGCTCCAGTGTGAGAAAAATACTCGTATCGAGTCATCAAAATACATCTTTATTAAAACTGTTTAAAAAAAGTTTATTTATTCAAATCATGTCTTTTTTACTGATTTCTTCAAAATTTTTATAGTTTAAATTTCAATGCAGGGAAAGTTTACTGAATATATGAAGAGGTAAGGAAAGATAGTGAAAATTAACATGAAGTTTACCGAATGTATTTTATGAAACAAGATTTATTATGATACGTTTTTTTTATTTACAATAAAACAAGCTTGCTAGCCTTGAACAAATGCAAGCATATAAATTGTGATGGATTATTCATCCACGAAAAATTGAACATTTGATCGACTCATACAAAAACACTGTTCATACAAAAAAATCGCGACAATACAATAAATACTGTTCTAAGTGTATACAATAGAGTCGATAATTTCAATAAATATTCAATTAAATTTTAATCTCGGGTAAAAAACATGGTCTTGAAAAAATTACAGTTAACACTTAATTTCAAAGTCAAGAAGTATTATCGATAAAAGATGATAAAAGAAAGTAAATAAAATACAAAACATTACGCTCAGATGGAACATTTTTTTAACTAAAAAGCATTTGCATCACGTTCATTATTCTCATTATATACAATAATATAATCGAGGCCCTTCAACACAAACTTTTTTCCTCATTATGTTTTTGAAATTGATATACGCTTTCTTTTCATAAAATCTAAGTACCTTTCGACTGCACATTTTATATAATTCACCATGTACCTAAACTTTCTCGACCTCATAATTCTTTAATTATCACTTTACATTACATACATTTTATAGAATAAAAGTTCGTTTTATTCTCTCGTTGGTTCCCGTTGTGCATTTTTGTTTCTCTTTTATGTATAATTTATCGCCATTAGTTTAATAACTTTCCATCGGGAAATAGATTCGCCGAGGAACATAGTTTTTACGTCGCTTCGAGATTGTCGAAGAATTGTAATACTTAAAATATCGTTTAATTTCGCCTGGATCGACTTTTTCTACAACCACTGACTAATGAGTACGATTCAATATATTATATGTACTTAAAATAATTTTAATTTAAAAATTTGAATTTATTCTCTTATATCACATAAATACTTTAGAATATATAGAATATATATTTTCTCTCTTTTTTTAATTTCGCTATCTATAGTCAACATTATAATCGTGATGCATATGTAACTAGTCAAAATCTCGTAGACTACTTTTGATTTACGTAACGCTTCAATAATGTTCAAAAAATGTCAATTGGTAAGTTGAGTTTGACTGCAGAAAGATATTCTAACTTGAAAGCGGAACTACGAAGGCGATAAGCTTTCCTTTCAAGACCAAAAATTCTAACGGTTGTTGACAGGTACATACTTTTCTTTTAGATAGCTAAATTGAAAGATTTTCATGATAATTTCGAAATTTAATTTCGTTCCTAGTAATTTTTTTAACCAGCATCTGTTATTACATACATTCTATACAATGCTACGCGATAAGTCTTTTCTAGTTGCATAGGTCCTTTAGTTTTGTAAATATTTAAGCTCACGAACTTTGATAGGTCTGTCGATTATTCTTTTTTGATTTCCTTGTTTTGCTACTATCACTCGTTAACTACACACATTTCTCATCTTTGAACTACATTAGTCGAATTATTTGTGAGTTGCCTTCTTTTATCATAATTGAACATTTACATCGTTTTATTGTCCCATATATTCGCACGTAGCTTAATACATCTTTTTTTCTTGTTTTTTTTACACTGCGCACATACAGACTAAAGAGTCACAAGTTACGTATTGAAACGGATACGATGGTGTTGCTTAGTGGCACTCGTCGTAGATATGTATTCAATTTTTACATACAATTTAAAATGCATTCGATTTGGTAATTCTCCGTTTCAAGGAAGAAATCTTTTTTTACAATAACAAGTTATTACGCGCGCAATCCATCGGTCACTCGAACATTATCGTTGCTTCATCGTCGGCGTAAAACAAATAACTTTTTTTTTCAAGGAATGCAAAAAATGCATAGAATTACCGATGCAATCCTTGAATTGTTATTTATCAAAAGTGAAATTATGAATTCGTCTAAAATATTTTTTTTCACACGGCATTTATTACCGGTCTTTCTCTAAACTCTAGGTATAAGATATTTTAATCGTTTAGTTTTTCAGTCTGCAACATATTGATTGAATAAAAAGTTATATTTATAAAATAAAGTTAATAAAAACTAATAATGATGAAGCTCGCCTGGTAATATAAAAAAAAAAAAGTAATCATATGTATACGATGTACGCAGTGAGCGTTGCTTCAGTAACTCGCTTCGTGCCCAGCGAGTATGTAGAGATCAGCTCCGTCGCTCTCGTTCAGTGTGCCCGCGTGCACTAGATGACTCTCCAGCATGACCACTCTGCGTAAGAGAGAGAAAAAAAAACATCAGTTTTATTGTCGCGCTCGTTACGCAATCGCTCTATACGCATTTATATAGCTTACTTATCGGAACCCAGCAGTTTGTAGGTACGGCTCGGATCGCTGATTTCTTGCGTGACCTCGCCATTCTTGAAACTGCGACCTTGCATACCGTATTTGTGGAAGGCTAATACACTGTCTGGCAAGACAACTGTAAAATTCAAACATTTCGGTTGGTCGTCATTGTAAGAATTCGCATACTTATGAAAATTATATCGATTTTTATTATTGCTTACTTATCGATTCTATCTTGAAATTAAATTGTAACTCTGCTAATTGTTTTTTGCTGATGCGAGGTTTTCCATTAAGATTCACGATCTTTACCCAATCTAAAAATGATCGAAAATTTTAGCACGAATTTTTACGACTCTGCGCATACCTGGTGAAATAAAAAATCATTAAAAAAAAATTCAATGACGACGTGTACTCACTATCGTGACAAACAATAATGGCATCCTTCTCCAGCTGTTGCACACTAACTACTTGAAGATTTTCTCTTCGTGGAATGACTGTGGCTAAAGAAAAATAAACGCACGCATTAAGAAATGACGCAATCGTTTGCATGGTTGAAATAAAAAAAAAATACAACGCGTCCTAGATTTTAGAATAAGAAGCTTCCATTGTATCCTACCTGTGCCGTCGACTTCTTCGAGCTCGTCGCTGTGGAACCAGCTGGCTCCGGAATTCATGTTGATCAGGTCGAGCTTGAGCTTGTTGTTCTGCTGGAAGGTCTGCTTCACGGAGACGCACACCATCGGGTACTCCATCTCGGGCGTGATGATCATCTCGAACACGTTGAGCGGATTCGGCAGCGGGCACTCGAAGTGCTTGAGCAGCATGAACTTGTTGAGCGGATCGTACCACTGCATGAGAAAGATGCCGTTGGGCATGGCGCCGCACAGGTACTTGTAGCCGTTGTAGGGATTGCGGCCGACGCAGCACTTGGTGCAGCCCTTGGTGTCGGGCACCCGCGTCGTCAGGGCGAACTTCCTCGGCACCAGTCGCTCGGGTATCTTGTTCATGTGCAGCGAGAACCTGTGCGTCTGTTTGCTCTGCATCGCCAGCAGGTCGTGCCTGTAGAGCTGGGGCGTCTTGCCCGACAGCGACATCAGCACGTCCTTGATCACGTACATCCAGATCGTTCGCCTCGGGTACAGCTGGTCGATCGCCGTCTCGTGCAGCTCGTTCAGGTTCAGATTGTAGATGCCTTCCTCGGCGGCGATCAGCAGGTGCTGGTCCCTCGTGTCCGGATGAATCCAGCTGGCCGTGCAGTGTATTCGCAGAGGGCAACCGTTGAATACCTGAGAGACGAAAGCGAGTTTTCGTTGTGGAAAATTCGGGAGGAAGTGTGAACAAATGAAGAAACGACACGAACCTTGGAGAAACAAGCTCCCATGTGGACCTTTGGCGTGGGTGGCAATCCGTTGCTTATGGGCCTGGGCGGCGTGTGTCTCTTACGATCCCTGCGTCTTGGTGGCACTGGTGGTGTATCTGACAATAGGTCCGGACCGTCTCCGACTTCGCCATTTTCCGACGTCTCGCTGTCCCCTAGAAAATTAGAGAAAGTTCAGTACATCTGTTCAATTTCGAGCCCATTGCTTCGATCGTCGGCTATCATTTTGTGGACACTTAACGAGAATAAATTAATGCAATAATCGTGAAAATCGTCGTGTCGCATGAAATAAATGACGAATGCGTGTGATTTTTATGTTTTTTTTTCTCTGTATTGTATGAAATGATTAACAAAGTCTACTATTGCAACTTTACTATCCTAAAAGCTAATGAACATCACAGTTAAAATAGAAGTAAAGTGTAAAACAACACCAAAAATCACAAAAAAAGCCAAACGACTCATTTTAATCTCCTATACAGTCACCCGTCAAACTCACCATGCTGTATTGTTAGTATAATATGGTGTTAATCGTAAGCCAAATTAGTCATAAGAAGCTTTAGCCGCAGTGAGATTAATATTGATTAATTAGATTAGACGGAAAACCGTATGCACTTATAAATTACTGTTAACCGAAAAAAAAGACGTCGCCTCGTTGTATCGTGCCGTTGGGATATATAATGTGTCTAAGGATTACGGGGGGTGGGCGGTGTTTTCGGGTACATTTGGTTTTACCATGAGTGTCATTGCGTCTATGGCTATCGGAGAGAGATCGTTGCCTCATTTGTCCCTGAGGCTGCAGATGATTATTTTGCTGGAGTCGCGTCAACGTCGAATTCGAGAACGTCGTCGACAGGTCCTCCATCGAGCTGTGCAAACGATTACGTGGACTGCTTCCATTGTTGTTGTTGACGCTGCTCGACGACGTCGTCGTCGTCGTTGTAGTCGGTGTAGCTGTTGTTGTTGCTGCTGCTGCGACGCCCGAAGAGGCTGTCCAATCCGCGCTTTGTACACCTGCATTTTTCACACTTACTTTCAAAGCCTTACCGATTTTTTCGGCCACGGAGGGTATTTTTTTTTTTTTTTGGTTTGTAATTGCAATTTTTTTGGAACCGTAGAGAATGAAATCATCACCGCGATATACAAAGTAAACGGAGCTACGTGAAAACTTTTATACAGTGGTGTCATGCACTTATATAATTGAGCTACCGAAATATCGAGCAATAATGCTGACATAGCAAAGAATACATTTCCTTGAATGAAAAATACACATACTGTACACTATTGTGCTATAAAAGATCGTTTACTCTTCTATTTTTATCGACTGTTAGACTAAAATTTTCATTTGGCTCGGCAAGTACACCTCAAACCTAATTAATGATGAATTTTCAACGATATATGTACAAGCTATATGCTGATCGAGTAATGATTTTCATGTCGATCAAAACCGCTCTAATGTATCGTAAAAGCATAATAAAGTCAAATAAAAAACGAAAATTAGAACACCCAAGAAAAATCACAAAAAACTTCAAAAGTAACCCAAAAAATATTTACAGAAGCTCATTTACAGTTTTACATTATAAATTTTTTTTTATAATGCAAGCTCTACAGAAAACGGAAAGCAAACAAGTCGGAAATTAAATTACGCACCTCTTAGATTGTCGTAAAAGCTTCGATCGCAGTCGTTGGTAGTCTCTCCTAGTGGCAGCGTAGCTCTGCAAAAGAAAAGGAGCCATCGGTTATAATTTGAATTCCATGGATGGATTCATACAACGACGTACATATTTTTGAACAATGTGGGTGAACGAACTTTTTGATTAAAATTATGATCAGATTAGTTAAGATTGACGATGTGCATTATATATTTGTAAATGAAATGAATGAAATAAAATCAAACTCGAATGGAATTAATCTTAAAACAAGAATACACAACTATGTTTGACGTTACGCATACAAAAAAACGCGTGTGAAATGGATTATTATTATCTACAAAAATGGAAGAATGGAAAAAATCCGTCAAAGTAAACAATCATCATCTCGAGCTTCGTCCGAAAATAAATAATATGTATGTTTTGTTTTGTCGCTATTTTTCATTAATATGACTACTTACTGCAGCGAATACAGCTGGTCGCAATGCCCGGCAATCGCATTTCCCCTGAACACACGAAACACACAGTAAACGCTGTTTACTCTATTTTTTATTTTTTTTTTATATTTGAATTATTTTTCCTCTCAATTTCTGCGGCACAACTTTAGAACTTTGAATATTAAATGAACATAATTATTGTTTGGCTGTTTTTCAATGATTTTCAAGAGAAAATTGGAAGTACAAGGAGCTCATTTCTATGTACATACATATCACATTTAAATTTTACACAAAAATCTTCATTCTCTTTTACGAGGGTAAAGGTGGTACGACAGAGCATCAACATAATTTGTTACTGAATATTTGAAAATTAGTCAATTTCAGAATTCGTTCTTTCGTATTTTTCTAATATTCAATATTACCGGATATCGCGAATTTTAACATATTGTTAAGAGTGGTAAAAGCTACAATTAAAAATTAACATATTTTTCAAATCTATAAGTCAACATATTTGGTCCAATTTAATCATGTCAAAGATAGTATAGAATAGTAATAGTAAGTTTGATTATAAGCAAAGCAGAGGCTTAAGCTTAGTTGAGTAAATCATGCAAATGTGAATGTTATTAAAACAGTGACAATACATTTAATGAAAAAAAAATTGGTGTACGATTTATAACGAAACTAAAACAATTGTTACTGTGGACGAATTGCAATCGGATCGCGAGTTCAAAGCTAGCGAAACATAAATAATTAAATGGCATCTCCATGATAACACAAAACTGGTCGATGGACGCATCATAACTAATATTATACTACAAAATTCATAAGCATAAAAAGCAATGGTGCAGCCGTGTGTGTGGTTTTTTTTTGTAAGTTAGACTTGCGCGCGATTGCGTGTGCGAGGAAAAAGGTTACCTGCCGATACCTTAGCAACAACTCCTCATCAATGTACTGCAATAGACTCCTGTTGGGGTGAAAAAATTTTTAAATAATTACATATCGATTCTAAACAGACAAATTATCAAAAAAATTAATTAATTGTTAAGTGGCCGAACGAGTGATTCGGCCTAAACCAAAAATGATAAAAAATATTAATCGAATTACAAAATAAACAAAATTACGAATCAAATGTAATCAAAAGTCAAATCATCAAGTAGTTATGAACAGCACTCAAAAAAACTTTGTTTCTAAGCTCAAAAAAACTTCGTTTAAAACCAAACGCTATCGTAAATAGGCAGCAGATTAAAAAAGATCAAAGAGTAGAGCAACTCGGCATATTTTTATAGCAATGATAATAATTAGAAAAGTTTATGCAAATTTCGAATGAAGTAGAGATAGAAAGAGCACTGCACTCGTAAAAGAAAATCCATGCCTGAATACCATGCACAGAATAGCAATGGACAAAAGTATCGTCGTTAAATGAGAAAAGTACATCTTTCGATACGTCAAATTCAATGCACACCGCATGTGTTGTATAGGCTTTAAAAACGATTTCTTTGTAGCGTAAAAAAAACTATTCACAAATCCGATCCTTGATACTCATCGAATTTTGTTTCGTTTTAATGTTTGTTAATAATCAAAACCGATCCCTTGTGTCATTGGTTGCCACTTTACCTGAGGCTCATACGCAATAGCTCTTCGCCTGTTTTGCTTCTGTGTTTGAAGTTATTATCAGCATCAAAGCTACAAAAATTTTCAAAGACATTGTTTTTGACTTTAGACCGTCACCATATTTGAACAGTTAACGCTTAAAACAGTAGTTTGTTTGTTTATTTGTTTTATGAATAATTGGCAAATCTTAGATATCTTTGAGTCGAGTGACGCGTAATAAGCGAGGTACGTAAGAATGATAAAATCATCTGCATTGCAACTACTATAGACGTATGAATGAAGGCTTGTGAAAGAATGACTATAAAATTAAACATTCAAAGCCTGTTAGCCCTTTCTGAAGTATTAATGCAATTTTGCCAATCCCATTTGATTTGCGGTAGATTTACTTTGATTAATTGTAAAAAATGCACTTACTTCTCTTGTCCATCTTCAAAAACAGATCCTAGCCTGTCTGGATGGACATCACAGTTGTGAGCAGTCTATTAACAAATAGAAAATGGATTTTTTAGACTAGATCATCTATTTTTATAAAATTAATAAACTGTATTAATACCTTAACATTATTCATAATGTCTACAATATCCCAAGCTGGATTATTATCTACTGAAGGCGACTTTTTATCCCTTTGTAAAGTTCCATCTTGTGATAAATTAAATTGATCTGTATGAAAAAATATACTCATGAGTTACTCATAAATTTTTCGTTTTTGCCAGTGAAAAAAAAAACAAGACTTACCCTCACTGTCTAAATCTGAAACAGGGCTCTTTGGTCTTGGTTTAGCTGTTAGTCTAGATGCAATGCGCTGGGGTACATTTGGTACTGCACCATCTTCATCTGGTTCTAACTCGTTAAACATATGGCTTGGATTAGACACTTTTTGTAACAATTCCAAGGCAAGGCGCCTACTCATATCACTTTGGAAGAATGAATGTTGCAAAAGTTTTTCTGCTGTAGGCCTCTTTTTGGGATTTTTTGTGAGAGCAACTTTGACAAAGTTATGGAATGTTGGACTCCATTTATCTTTGTCCTTCAGCGTTGGTGGTTTGAAGCCAGATTTTGACATTAAAAATAGTGCCCTCATAGGATGCAAATCAAACATAGGAGGCTGTAATTCTGCTAATTCAATTGCTGTAATACCAATAGCCCATATATCACATAGTTGATTGTATCCTCCTTTTCTTTCAACAGCTGCCACCTGTAATTATGCATGAAATCATATTCAGATAAAGAAAACAAAAGAATGATTTTGACACTGAACTTTGAACAATAAACAATGAATGTTATAAATACCTCTGGGGCCATCCAGTAAGGAGTGCCAATAAAGCTTTTTCTCTTATTTATTGTAGCTGTTATCTGAGCAGAAACACCAAAGTCGGCAAGTTTCACATCACCAGATTCAGTTAATAAAATATTGGCTCCTTTAATGTCTCTGTGCATTTTTCCCATACCATGCAGGTACGCCAAACCAAGTAGAGTTTCTCTACACATGTATGCTATTTGGATTTCTGTTAAAGGACCAGTAACTGCAATGAAAATAATAGTTGTCATTTTTGTTCTACAATATATTATTACACTGTCAAATAATATTAATTGGTCACACATACTGTGATAGATGTCTTGTAGAGATCCTCCGCCACAGTACTCCATACAAATCCATAATTTATCCCTTCTCAAATAACTACCAAAGTAGGCAATGATATTTGGGTGTCTACAGTCTTTCATCATGAGAATTTCTTGTTGTATTACAGCAAAGTCATCACCTGGTTGACAAAGAAAAGAATTAAAATAAGTAAAAGAATGTCTGAATATAGAGTATACGGATAATGGGATAATTTTTTACAGCTGAATACGCTTCTTACCAGGCTCAAGTTTAATGACCTTGATTGCAGCTAAATCACTCATGGAGAGCCTCTTGGCCTGGGAACAAAGTTAAAGAAGAACAATTAGCTTTAACCTCCTTTACTTGCACTCTAAATAAGAACAAAGCAGACGTATGAACTTCGGATGTGTCTTAGTTCACAGTGCAAAGTAATCACTTTCTGCAGCAAGAAAGAGGAGAAGAAGAGAGAAGAGAGAAGAGAAAAAAAAGGAGTCAAGTGTGTCCCACAGCTTAATACCCAATGAAAGCAAATTATCAGACGCAAAATGGGCTTAATCAATTGGTAAACGCATAACTGTATGAGAGCGCGACTCGAAATAACAACATTTACGGCTGGCAAAATGTTTTGGAGCCACGAAAATTTTTTTTTATTATCCATGTTATAACATCCATCTGGCATCGTCGTGGCTCGCGCAAAAAGTAAACAAATAAACATTCGCGACGACGGGGGGTTGATCGAATCGGAGCACTCAATAAAAGAGGCATTTAATTCTCTCTCTCTCGAGAGAGAGTTTTCTTGCACACAAAGTGGGTTGCAAAAACAAATATTTCTCAGATGGACGTAGCCATCGGAGAAAATCACACACTCACTTTGTAGACATCGCCGTAAGTGCCACTGCCGATCCTCTGGATGAGCTCGTACTCGTCCTGAGGATTGCGCCTGCTAATGTCACTGGACAAGGCATTGGCATTTAAAGCTGCTGCAGCTGCAGCTGCTCCCGCTGCTGCCGCGGCCATGCTCGCGCCTCTTCTTCTTGCAGTATCTTGGAATATTTATAATCTGTCTCTCGTTGCGGGGTTATTCTCTGGCTGCTGCTGCCGTCGTGTGTCCCTTTGCACACGAGCACAGAAAAACACACACGCACGCACGCACACGCACTATAACAGAGGCACAGAGTAGTTGGCACACGACACTTTGGGATGTGGTATGTGTGTATATATGATTCCGCAGATAAAACAAAGCCACGAGACGACTATTTTCTTCTTCTTATTCTTCCTCTTGTCCGTCTCTTGTGCCTCGTCGCTACTGCACACACGACGATCCGCTGCACTGTACTGCAGCACACACGACGACGACGACGAGTCGACGACGGCTATATGGTACTGTAACGCGTGCTGTACATGTACTGATCTGCTACATATATATCGCGCGACTGCTGCTGCTGCACTGACTCGTATTGTAGCACTTTGTATATTTACGTATAACACGTACTGTATGGACGATACACCACATGAGTCGCGAACGCCTCGCGAGAGGATAGGTTCTCTTTCGGAGCAGTGCTTGGAGAGATACTATGTATCATAGAAAAAAAAAGGAAAAAAAAATAATAGGAAAAAAAGAGAGCGATTGTGTGCGCGTGTGTGCCTCGCGAATCGCTCGCACGTACTTTTTTGTCCCCTCTTCTGCTCTCTCTCTCGCGACGACACTTTTTTTTCTTTTCTTGTGCTTGCTTTTTTTCTTATTATCTACTGTTTGCTCTGATTACGATTTGTCGACGCTTAATAACGTCGTCGTCGTCGGCGTAAGCCGCTGCTTCTTGTCTGCTGTTCCGCTGCCGTTGTTACCACCACCGCTGATGTATAATAATTTCGACGACGACGTGCAGCACTGCTCGACGTCGATCGCAGCGACGATAATTGAGATTTCGCGATCGCTACGATAAACGTCGATTATCGCCATATTATAAAATTGCGCGCGGGCGGGCTCGTAGCGTTATATCGTCATTTCATTATGTTTTTTCGCGAGCATCGGCAGCGTGAAAAGATATTGTCACGAGGAGAGAGGAGGCACTGTTATACACAACTCCAACTTTTTTGCGATCATCAACTTCGGAGTCGGTTATTGTCTCGCTCGAATCCGCAATCGCGCGCGTCGAGTCTATAATAAGTCGCTCCGCTCTTGGAAGGAGAGAGACACGCACAAACTCGTTCATTCAACCGCGACTCGTGCTCGTATATACGCCGACTGCTGCTGCTGCTGCTGCTGAAGAGCTATACCAATGTAACGCAGCTGCCTCTCTGACACGCTTCGTATATCATGCCATGCAGCTACACAACAACAACATAATACGTCGTCGTTGCGGCGTAGCAGCAGCACTCGAGAAGTGCATATCAGCAGTAGCCGCGCGACGAGTCGAGAGGGAGAATTTTATTATGCTATACTACTATATATCGTTGTAATGTTCATATGTGCACCGAGCTCAAGTGTCTCTCTCTCTCTGATGCCACACACAATAGCCACGCGCACACTGCTATATACGCGATGCACCGCTCCAAAGAGCGACAGAGAATGAGAGTCAGAGAGAGAGAAAAAAATCCGCAAGAGCTCAGTCTGAGCGACTCTGCAGCACACGAACGGCGTATAGGAGACAGAGAGAGAAGAGCAGAGGATGTAATAACGTATTATATTTTGTAGGCGAAAAGACGTACGACGACGATCGTCGTCGAGACTCGCGCGATCGCCGTTGCGGCAGCCGCAGTATACGCACGTCGCAGCAGCAGCAGATGCACTTGGCACACTGCACCGCTCGCAAACTGCACGCCTCGGCGGCCTCTGCTCTCGGCCCTAATACGCGCGCCTGTATAGCACTCTATACACTATACATATTACTATATAGGTTCTCCAGCCGCGCGCGCGAATTCGCTGCTGCGCCTATATGCAGTTTTTTCGTCGTTGTTGTTGTTATTATTGCAGTGACAGATGCGGCGCTGTATATACGAGTCGGACGGAGACGGAGAAAATACGCGAGAAGTTGCTTGATAATCGATAGCAGCGGTGCGTTCTGCAGCGGTGACTTTAATAAAACGGAGCTCCGCAGCGCGCGCGCGGCGTACATATATAGGATAACGCAAGGAAATATATACTGGTATTAGGCGGAGTGTATAGTTCGGCCAACTTCGCGCGAGTTTTTTAGAGTATATATACATCGTCGTCGAAATACAGGGGCCCGCCGCACACATTTACAAACAGCCACCCACACGAACGCGTCGCAGGCAGCATATGGCTGTATATGTATATACAGCAGTACGTAATTCGTGTGCAGTTGCGTACGCTATACCACCATACTCTGCTGCAGCTGCGGTGCGCGGGTAGTAGTAGTAGTAGTAGTAGTAGTAGTAGTAGCAGCAGTGCAGCAGTGACTCTGACTGCCAGAATACGCGCAGCGAGCGAGAGAGAGATACACACATATCGATAGCATAAGAAGCAGCAGCAGCAGCAAACGCGGCTCCGTGTATTCTTGCTCGGTCGCGTATCATCGTCGCTACTACTACACTACTATAATACATGGCTCTCGACTCGACTCGGTGCTGCAGTAGTGATCTTCGCGAGTGAATTCGTTCTCTGTGCGCGTGTATTCTCGAATTCGGCTCGTGTGTTTATACACGCTCGTGTTAAACGGCGACCTCGCCGAGGAGGAGCCGCAGCAGCAGCAATTTCTTGTTGGTAAACAATGGCAAACGATGCATTGCGAAACCTAACCCATCAAGTAAGCCCCCTCGCTTTATACTCTGACATGATCTGTAGTAGTACATATATATAATACGTGTTATATATAGTTTACGCACGCACACACGAGCGCGGTCGAAAAACGGAGCTCCTGCTACTGCTATCTCTGCTCGCGTATATATACGATACAGAGCGCCCCGTGTGTTTTTGTTTATTCATCGCACTCTACCTTCTAGCTCTAACGATTTCTCCTTTTTCTTTTTGCGTGTCTTGCAGAAGCCGAGCGACAATTGAGAGGCCCGACTGCAGCCGCATGATATGGGTAACAAAGCTTGGATCGACGAAGCCAACAAGTTTCCAGTGAGTATACGATGCAGCACGAAATAAGTAATTCGGTAGGCCAATGATGGAGACTCTCGTATCTACTGTGAAGTGTATACAGCAGTTCTCTCTCTTGCGCGCGATACCATAATGTAACCATCGAAATAACGTCCGATCATATGTTTTCTGTGTTACACAGTCGAGAAAGAGGCTTCACACCTGGATACACAGGCCGAAGAAGTCGTGATACAGGATCGTCGTCGTCGAGAGGATATCGTTAGACAATTCAGCAGGAGGATATCAGCTTGTTGTCGTTGTTGTTGTTGTTGTTGTTGTTGGGGCCTGTCTGCTGCTACTGCTACGAGTGTGCGTGCATAAATTAGCACACGATACCCACATAAACGCAGAAAGAGAGAGAAAGAGAGAGACTACGTAATTGAGGAGCCGACTCCACCACCAGTGATATAGCAACGGCCGAACCTCCCCTTGGCAACAAAACGTAACTACACACATACACACCTACACGGGGCACTGTGCAAGTCAACGTACACGCGTATATATTTACGTGTATACCAACAGAAAAAGTAAAGAGACAGAGAAAGTACGAAGAATAAGAAGAAGAAAGTCGTTATACGTCGTTCGCGCGATTGTAATGAACTGAACGAAGAGAGAGAGAGAGTAAAAAACAAAGCGCGAAATTGTAAGCGACGCGCGTGTTTGTGTTCTGTGTTTTTTTCTGTGTACATATTATTATATAGTAGTAATAAGTGTATGTTTTGTGCATGTGCGGATTGTCGATCTGCCGATGTACATAAATTGTCGATCGCAATCGTACCGGCAGCCCAACGATAATCGTAAAGCGCGTACATGGAGGCGTTCGAGAACACGCTGAGATTTTCCGCTATACTGGTGAACAATCTCCAGAGGTCGCACGGCCATCACCATGTCGCGGTCGCCGATCATCACATCAGCATCGGCCAGAACGGCATCAACATCGCCGGTGTCGGCATCGGCGGCGGCGGCGGAGGTGGAGGCGGAGGCGCTGGCGGCGGTGCTAACGCCGGTCCAGGAGGTCTGGCCTCACAGTACGGCGCCTCGGCCGTCGACCGCTCCAAGCTGCACGAGTGCGACGTCTGCCGCAAGACCTTCAGCCGCAAGGGCAATCTGAAGCAGCACGTGGACGCGATACACAGGCGCATCAAGTCGCACGAGTGCGACGTCTGTCGCAAGGTCTTCAGCCGCAAGAGCTACCTGAAGCAGCACGTGAAAATCGTGCACGCGGACATACGCGAGCACGAGTGCTACCTCTGCCACAAGATATTCAGCCGCAAGAGCTACCTCGACCAGCACGTCAAGATCATACACGAGGGCATCAGGGAGTTCGAGTGCGACGTGTGCTTCAAGCGCTTCGGCCAGAAGCGACAGCTCAAGCGCCACTACGACGTCATTCATCGGGGCATCAAGAGCCACGAGTTCAGGCGGAAAAAGACTTGAGGCTCGCTGCTCGGGTGTGCCGGTGTTTCTTGTAAAGTATATCGATAATTTTTAATTATTAAAAAAAGGAGAATAAAAGTTAACTCTGATACGATTGTGATGAATCAATGAAGAATGTAACGATTATATTATATATATTATATATATTTGCTCGACAGAAAATGAAACAAAACAAATCAATTCATAGATATATTTGTATATCTTTAAATCTAGCCTCCGGGCCGCTCGATGCTGAGCTTTCCGAGGGGCTAGGCTAAAGCTGAGCGTGTAAAATTACGAAGAGAATGGGAAAAAACTTGCATAAACTTTCAGCCTGTATAATTGAGAAAATAAAGGAAAAAAAAATCGGATGAACGAGAAAAAAATTTCAAGTTGAGAAAAAAAAAGAGAAAACTTTATTTATTATGTTTGTAACTGATCTGAAAGCTTTTGAAAGTTATATTTAGATGTTAGGGCATAGTTGTAATTGCAACAAAAGAAAAATAAAAATAAAAAAACTTTTCAGCAAGAGAAAACTACCACACGCTGTAACTGAAGAGTATCAATAATCATTTATGTACGAAACTAGCGCATAATTTCTTTTCAAGTTGAACAGAAAAAAAAAACAGAAAAAAAAGAAGCAAAAAAAAAACGTTTCATTTGAACTTGAATAAAGGTAAAACTTTGTATGAAAGTTTTTAACTTTGAAAAAATATAGTGCAAAATATCTTTTTCTTTCAAAAAAAAAAATTTCCCACCAGAAAACCCGCACCGATTGTTCGAAGCTACATATAAAGTGTGCATTATAACATTTTCCATGTCTGCAGCGCTACCGCATCAAACGCGTTACGCGGTACTCTATACTCTCTAGCAGACGAAGATAAAGAAGAAGAGGAAGTGGTGGAGGAGGAGGAGGAATGAGAATCCGAGTGAAATGTGTCGCGTGTTGCCTCGGTTCGATATGGCTTTTTTAAAATTTACGCGGGAATCGATACATTTTCTGTTTTTCTTATTTATTTTTTCTTTGCGCGTCTATTTCCGTATACGTACGGACAGCTGTCGCTTACTTGTCGAAGTGTATGGATACATTGAAAAAGAATTTGCTCAGTTGAATACACGGCCAAAGTCTCGAAGATTTTTGAAACTACGAAGGCAAAAAAAATTCATTGCGAATACTCTTTAAATTTTTAAATATTTTTTTTATCTATAAGATTACGATCTTCACGCGTGCTCTTATAAAAACTCGATGGAAACACGAAGCATCGGTAAAGTCGCGAGCCACCGGTTGATCGTTCAAGGAAAACAATTATAGTATGGCATCATCGTCATAATCATCGTACGGATAAATACGCTCCAAAAGCGAGAGGAGGCATACACAAACGTATACGGAAGCGGAAGGGGTAAAATGTCAAGGCGCGCACGAAAAAGCTCTACTCTCTGTGCTGTCGGGCGGTCGCCACGCGCGCGCGAAAAGCTCTCGCACTCGCTACGCGTCCGCCGTCATGGATGTTTGTCTCCACGCGCGCGCGCCTCGAACTCTTGTGTGTGTGTTTTTTTTTTTCATTCGTTCTCGCCTCTCTTGCACGCCGAAATATTTTTTTTCTTCATTTTTTTGTTCGTGAGTAACTTTGGACGAAAATAAAAAAAAGCTCCTCGCTCTCTCTCTCGGTCGTTCGGTCCGTCTCTCGCCTTGTCCGTGCGATAATTATAGCGAATAAAAAAAAGACAGATTTTTACTCTGTGTGTGTATGTGTGTGTGTGTGTGTGTGTGTGTGTGTGTGTGTGTGTGTGTGTGTGTGTGTGTGTGTTCACTGGTCTGACAATCGGACAGTCGATTTGTCGCAATCGTCAACATCGCATCCGTACCGACGCGATATTTCGGTTCGAGCGTGGAAAAAAATATCGTACCAGGGAGGAAGAAGGAGGAAAGGAGTGCGGAGGAGCCGAGCTTTTCTTCCGCCCGCATATACTTGAAGAGTCCATTCAAAGTGCAACAGGTACATACACATTCCATACGTATATATTTTACAAGTGCAAGTCCGCACGCTCGATCCCGCGGCGCGCATGAGTTTCTCGCTCGTGTGCTCTCGTTCTCGCGCTGCAATCCATCGTTTCCGCAGTTTTATATACTTAACATTGCACGTATATTCACAAGAGCCTCAACTATAAAAAAACTCGTATGGTTCTTTTTGCGTTGCTCAAAGTGGTAGTACGTAAATAATAAACTTTTTTACGTTTGTCAATTGTGCGTCGACGTGTCGAGCTTAACTTTCCATGTGCATCCGTCCAGCACACACATTTGTACGCGAACTTTATAGCTGGCGATATATACAAGGCGAGTATTCGACTGGAGAATTCTATTAATATCGCGAACGTGTACATATGAAAATAATAATAACAATAACAATAATATATGTACGTGTGTATAACGTTTATGTGCGCGCGTGGGTACATGTGTTACGCTGTTCGTACGTGTCGGAGCTTTAAAAGAAAGGTCCGTGCAGCACTTGCACGAGAGCGAGAGAATTGCCCAGCAACAATATACTAGTAATTTTTTGCATCAAATATAGTACGTAGAAGGATCTCGTTTCGAATTCACGATCAATTCCTAGTCGGCGTTCAATGTCCCACGACGAAAAAAGCTCGACGTCGTCCTCCCGCAAGCTCGCGCCAGTGGAAGATATGAAATCGCTGCTATCATGTCGATCGAATGTAGTCTGAAATCTGCGGCGGCGTGGCGGCTGCTGCCGCTGCTGCTGCTGCTGCTACTGATCTCGGTGCAAGTGCACCCGTCCACGAGTTACGTCGAGCTTCCGAAGACGGTCATAGGTAAAGCTTTCGCACTTTTCTCCATTTTTCACGATCGATACATCTATAGGATCCTAATTTTATAAATTATATTATCGTCATCGCGGCTGCGGCAACAGGTGGCCTGTTCGATCGCAATGGCTCGTCGATGCGCAGATCCTTCTCGCTCGCGGTACGCAGCATGAACAGCTGTCTGTTCGATCGTCACTGGTGCGATCGCATCCAGAAGTGCGAGCCCCGCCACCAGGACTGCGATCAGTTTCACTTCCTGCAGATCTCCGCGCTGGTGCTCGAGGTCGACGGCGGCGTCATCGACGCCCATCGTAAATTCGGCGAGTTGGCCGGTCACGGGGCGCGCGACCCAGTCGTCAATGACTACGGCCTCGCCGCGGTGTTCGGGCCCCACTCGGAGCTGAGCTCGCGCTACGTGCAGGGCCTGTGCGAGCTGCACGACCTGCCCAACATCGTGGTGAGGCGCGAGATCGAGCACGACCCGGTGCGCTCGATCAATCTCTATCCGGATCTCGGCACGCTGGCCCACGTCTACGTGGAGATGGTGAAGAAGCTCAACTGGACGTCGTTCGTCGTGCTGTACGAGAGGCCGGACAATTTCGCCGCCGTGGAGAAGCTCCTGAAGATGTACGGGCCCTACGACTATCCGGTCTATCCGTTCGCGCTGGGCGGCGGCAGCAATTACAGCCTGCCCCTGCTGCGTGCCAAGGCGACCAACTGCAAGAGCATCGTGATCGACTGCTCGTACGAGCGTCTGGCCGCGATCCTCGCCCAGACCCAGCAGGTCGGCATGATGACCGACTCGTATCGCTACTTCGTCACCTCGCTCGATCTGCAGACCCTCGACCTGGGCCCCTATCGTCACTCCGGGGCCAACATCAGCGGCATCCGACTGCTCGACCCCGACGATCCGTTCGTGCGCGACTTCGTCCGAGCTCACCTCGACGAGCTGGAGATCGCGGGCCCGGAGCAGCTGCGCACCGAGGACGCCCTCGTGTTCGACGCGGTGGCCATGTTCGCCCAGGCCTACAAGCATCTGGCCTACGATTACGAGCCGGCCGAGCTCAGGGGCAACAAGCTGCCGCAGAATTACGACGAGCCCGTGGAGTGGCCGCTCGGGCTCAGTTTGAGGAATTACCTGCTCTACGTGAGTTTTTATTACATTTATTTTATTGTGACAAGATTGAACGAGGAAAAATGTATTATTTTATGTTGTAACGCGTTACACAGAACACGATAAACGGACTGACGGGGCCGGTGATGCTCGACACGGACGGCAGTAGGAGGCGATTCGAGCTCGACGTGCTCAATTTACAAAAGACCGGCTTGAAGAAGATCGGCAAGTGGAATCCCGACGACGGCTTCGACGAGCTGCACATCTGGAACGAGCTGAAGATGAAGCACTTCAACATCCTCATAACCATCGTGAGTACAATACAACGCTATGTTATTTTATATTTTACACATTGCACCATCGTAAAATCCAAACTTTTGCCTCGTGAAAGACACCGCCTTACGCCATGCGAGTCAACTACTCCAAGAGCCTCGAGGGCAACGAGCGCTACGAGGGCTTCGTCGTCGACATCATCAAGGAGCTCAGCCGCATCATCGGCTTCAATTACACGTTCCACGTGCAGGAGGACGCGCAGAACGGCGCCTGCAACAAGAGCCAGTCGGGCGTCTGCCGCTGCACGGGCATGATGGAGCGCATAATCAGCGGCGAGATGGACATGGCCATCACCGACCTCACCATCACCGAGGAGCGCGAGCTCTGCGTCGACTTTTCCACGGCCTTCTGGAACTTGGGCATGAGCATACTCTACAAGAAGCCGGCCCAGGCCCCCGCGACGCTGTTCTCGTTTCTGTCGACCTTCGACACCTGGGTGTGGATCTATTTGGCGCTGGCCTACGTGCTCATGTCCCTGATGTTCTTCGCGCTGGGCAGGATCAGCCCGGCCGAGTGGACGAATCCGCATCCGTGCGTGGAGGAGCCCTCGGAGCTGCACAATCAGTTCACCATCAACAATTCGTTCTGGTTCACGAGCGGCGCGCTCATGCAGCAGGGCTCGGAAATCGCTCCAATGTGACTACGACGACAATATAATTATTTTTATTTCTTCCCTTCGTTTTAATGACGCGCAATTAATTTCCCGTCGACAGAGCCATATCCACCCGAGCCATGGCCGGCTTCTGGTTCTTCTTCTGCCTCATCATCATCTCCACGTACACGGCCAATCTCACGGCTTTCCTCACCGTCGAGAGCCCGGTGCGAGTCGTGCGCGGCATCGAGGATCTCTACAACCAGTCCAAGATCAAGTTCGGCGCGAAGCGCGGCGGCTCGACCTTCATGTACTTCCAGAGCTCGAGGAACCCGAAGCACCGACAGCTCGCCGAGATCATGCAGTCCAAGCAGTGGGAGCGCTACATGCCCTCGTCGAACGCCGAGGGCATCAAGCTGGCCCAGACGGAGAATTACGCCTTCATCATGGAGTCGTCGAGCATCGAGTACATACAGTACAGGATGTGCGATTTGGAGCAGGCTGGACCGCTGATCGATCAAAAGTCCTACGCCATCGCTTACAAAGAGAGTGAGTTTGTTACAGAGTAATAATGAATTTATGCGTAAACGCGTTATGGGTTAATTTTGTTTTTGTTTTTTCAGACTTTGAATATCATCAGCAGATCAGCAGGACCATATCCGTTTTGCAGGAAAAACTCGTCATCAAGGGTCTGTACAACAAGTGGTGGAAGGAAAAGGGCGCCGTGTGCTTTGTAAGTCTAATAATTTATTTTTTGATGAATATTTAATAAAATAGTACATTACTGTTCTATACCAAGAAAACATAGAAAAATCCGAGGGTACATGTATACGTGAAATTAATATTAATACGATAGTTGAATAGTGCAAACATTTAAATTGACACCATTAAATTTTCTGACATTAGATATGAAATGAAAATATGATTACATTCACATTATAAAATATGAATATTATAAAATATTTCATACAAAGTAAGCGATGTAAATACATTTTTTATTAAGCCTATATAAAATAATTGGAAACATGTAAAATCCGTGAAATAAAATCAGGTAAATTCGTCACCACGTCCCGGAGAGTTAACGCTTTAAACTCAGAGGCAAAAACACATTTGACCCTTGTGAAAATAAATTAGGGCAACGAATTCTCCAATTTACATTGAGATATTTATCTATTATTATTTCCATTTTTTAAAGAAATAATTCAACATAGTTAGCAACAAAGCAAGCTATATAATAATGCTAACTATAAGTCAAGGCTAACTTATGTGACGCAATTCAATGGCCATGTTATTGATAAATCAAAAATAATTTTCGTTTACAATTATTTTTTATGAATATTGTTGACAAAAAAAACTATTTTACAAAATCGCTTTCAATCGATTATATTTAAGTAAAAAGTTTCGTTTCAATTTAAGAAATAAAAATATCTACAAAAATTTCACATTGTGAAATTCACGTATGTATAAATTAAAAAAGTTACATTTGATTTTGATCCACTGGGTCATCTATTTTTAAGTAACAATTGATATTAAAGCAGTGATGTAAGACATTGTCAAGCGTACAATCTGAAAAAAATTCAAACGTTCAGCTAAAAAAAGAACATTCAAATATGATTCGCCGTACTTACGGAGGTGCACGTTTCAAAATTGATTAATATATTTGGAGAAATGTACTCAGTCACAGTTGGTTTCATAGATCTCACCATCATGGTATGTAAAAGACTCCTTACTTTTGGGGAAAATATATACCAATCGATAAAGTAACTGTTAAAAAACAATTATGAATACTTAAAATGATACAATACAAATTCTTGGTATAGAAGTGACTACTAGAATTTTTTACTGAATTCTATATGTATATTTACCAATTAAAAAATATATCACTGCTTGCATTTGATAATTCTTGCTGGGGATAGGTCATTACAGTTAACAACTGTAATACACCAAGTAACCCACAGCACATCTTTAATGCAAAATTCAAATTACTTCGCAAATGTACAACCATCTGAATGATAAAATGAGCTTAAAGTTACAACTTGGTTTTGAGTTCAAGTATAATATAATAATAAAATCTAAATTATTGATAACATACCATGCCACTAGTAAAAATCAAGTCACATATTGCAACTGAAATACCAACTAGATAAAGAGGTTCAATAATTTTTACGAATACATCAGCTACACTAGAAATTTTACAGATTTAATAGTAGTTTTATTCTGTTAAACACTTAATCATTTTAATTCAATTATTAATTTGAAGGAAAAAGTATAATTACCTCAGAACTCTTTGGTGTTCATGAGCTATTTTAGACAAATGAATATAAATTGATTTTTGATCCGGATTTACTACAAAATCGTTCGTTTGTGTCAAATCAGATGTTCGTTTTAGAAGAAGTCTGAGTAATCAAACGCAATTAACCTTAGAGACGCTGTTATAAGAATCAATTTATATAAAATATAATTTATATCTATATTACCCTATATATTTAAATTTTGCGATGAAAAATAAATCCGCCGATAAGATGACGTGAATGCCTGCTGAGAGTACAATTACAACCCCAGTTGATGCAATCATGGTTACAATGAATAAATAAAAAAAATATTTCTTTTCAAAATGTTCCGTCGTAATATGATATGTAAGTTGCATTTGGTGAGTTTCATTATCCAACAAATTATTTTCGATGAAAGGGATGACCACTGGCAATGTAGTATATAAGAAAAAGCTGATAACTGTGGAAACTTTCAAAATTTGATAAGTAAAAAAAACTATTTTTAATTTACTACTGTCGCATTTACCACTAATAATCTTAGAAAAAAAATTGGAGGCGCTGAAATATTTCCTTAATAATTTTTTTTCTTCGTAAGTAGATTGCAACCAATTTACAGCCACTTTCCGAAAAACGAATCGTGCCTTTGAAAGTAGATGCAAAAACTACAACGATAAAGTTTAAAACTAAAGTGGAGAAACCGAACGCATTACCTTATTTATTATATTTTTGTTCAATCCAAATAAATATAATGCATGTATAATGTATAGAAACAAAAAAATTTGAATAGTGCAATCAGTAATAACGTTAAGACTCCCATCATTTTTGTTTAATTCTAACATTAAAAGCCAGGCCTGCAAAAAGATTCAATTTAAAATTATTAATTTTATAATTAATTTTTTCATAAGTAGAAATAGAAATCTCTGAAAATTTATATATTTTTCCGGGCTTACCGTTGAAATAAATAATAAAAAGAAAAAAGTGAACATGATCACAACCCTTATGATTCGCTTTTTCTCGTTTTCAAAAGGCCACAAACCAGGTATTTTAAGAAGTATAATGGTCAACTCCGAAATCTCCCTGAATAAAATTTCTATGTCAGAGTCACTGAGTTGCGGAGTTTGATGAAATGTATTTATTCTTTTTGTGAAGTATGACATTTTGAAAATTGATTGACGTATTTACTTGTTCGTATTAGTAAATCCGTAGAGTCCGAGAACTAAAAAACTTACCTTACAGTATCAAAGAAGAATTCAATTTGTAAATTGTACAACTCGCAATGTATTACATACAATATTAAATATTCATCTATCATTAATAATAAAGTAGATGGGAAATACAAATATGAAAGACGTTTATAATAACGAAAGTAAAATTATTTTTTATCCGTGTAAATATAATTCAACAATGAAAAACCAAACAAGCTACTCTATAATTCAACCGTTCAAATCGGTTATATTATGAATAATTTCAAAGAAGTTTAAGTTCACAAACGTGACGTTATGTTTACGTGAAAATAGTACTTTAAATCCAACTAAGTAATCGCTTTTTCTTTTCTTTTTCATTCTCAGAAGAAATCCAAATCGACCACCGCCGATCCCATGAATTGGGATCAATTGATGGGCGTCTTTCTGGTGCTCGCGGTCGGAAGCTTCCTGACGCTCGGCATCACCCTCTGGGAATTTTTCTGCGGCGTTCGCAAGGTCACGAAGAAGTCCGTCGTAAGTTTAACAAATATACATGTCCATCTATTTTTTCTTCGTATGCATCATTCATTTAATTAATTATTATCTTTTTGTGGTCCAGGCTACGTTCAAGCAAACCGTAACGGCGGAAATCAAAAACGTCAGCGGCTCCAAGGCGATAAAGCCGGTGCTCAATCGGAAACCGTCCAACGAGTCTTCGTTGACGAACGACTTCAATTCCATTAACTACACGCCTTAGTCGCGCGTGTTTATAAAATAATAAAATATGACATATCGGCGTTGTCTGTACAATGCCTCCGATTCCGTACGATGATGTGCGTGTTTGTGTGTGTATATTCGTATGTTTGTTTATTATGCCCGCACCACCGGGAGGTGTTGAGACATTTTCCTAATCGATGAATTATTTTGTCTTCGACGATTTCCTATTCTCTTTATGGATGTATAGTTTTTGGAGCTTTGTACGCGCGCGAAATATACGTAATGTAAACACTTTTAACAGTTCGTGCGTGCCTGTGCTGTGTACGAGCGCGCTGCACTTTAAAGCTAAAAATACATTTACACTCCCGCGTTGTTTTACTGTACGCGCTTGTCGAGTGTGTATATGTATTTGGCGATGTGTACAATGCTTTTCGTTTTCTATAACGACTGCACGGTATACCCATAATATAGGAGTTCTTTTTTGTATATACAAACGCGGCGTGTTTGTATGTTTAGCAGAAATGCGTGTCAATTGCTCGAAAGAGAGTCGAGCGGAGAAAGAGAGAGAGAGAGAGAGAGAACTTAACGTAATAATAACGACGTTCGACAATTTATGGATCAATATTCATAATTTTTTTTTATTAGAAAAACAACAAACGAAAAGTTTCTTACGTGGTACGATTCATTGTGATGTTACTTCTGCGCTATCGTCACGCGAATTAAACAGAGTAACAGTTATATTATTTACATGAAAAAACAGCGAATATTTGATAGAGAACGTCTATGTACAACGAAACAATCGTCAATGACGTTGCTTGATAATAAAATTTCTTAATTTTTTATAATAATATATAAATAATATGTATAAGAGTTATTTACAAACGTACACATGATTGACTGCCTAGATTTGCTTACTTATAGAATCTATTACAAAAAAAAAAAAAAAACATATGTTCCTGACCGCTATACCTGTAGCTCTACATGATTTAGGAACAATTCTTCGGCGTCGGCGCAATTTTTGCACTAAACATAACAACCATTTAACAAATTCATTCTTTTTCTTCGTCGTCCCAGCCATTTTCATCGTCCCACCCGTCACCTTCATCTGTAGCGACAGCGTCAATGTTCATCGTGAAATTGTGCGGCGTGTCTGGCTTTTCTTTTGGCTTATCTTCGATGTGAACGACTTGAGTTTTTTCGATTACCGGTTCCATATCCTGGAAAAAGTCGAACTCTTCGTCGTTCTTTTTATCATTCGAAATCGTCTTCGAGTTTTTGATGTCGAGCTCATTGATGTCTTGAATAACTATTTTTCGCTCGTATTTCGGCGTTATGCTCACTTTCGGTGGCTCTTCTAGTTTAGCCAATTGCTCTTGCAAAATTATCTCGTCGGGCACTTGCTCCGATTGCAAAGGCACCTCCGGTTCGGGTGTTCCGTTAGCCTCTGATTCACTGACTTCCCAATCGGACCAATTCTCCTCCTCGCTTATTCCTAAAATAATGTCCTCCTTGTCCTCGCCACCGTCGGGCGACGGACGCTCGGGTAAGTACTCGTCTGGAGGATCGTCTTCGCCCTGGACGATTTCGATGGGTGTGCTGAATTTAACGCGATGATTTTTTTTGCTACGATGTGGTTTGTTCGGCCTGCCATCCGTGAACAGTCGGCCGCGTTTTCCGCCTATGACTGTCGCCGCACCTAGAATTGGCACTAGATCGGCCAGAGCACGTAGGGTCGTGCTGACTAAAAAATCGTCGGTATCTTTGATGCCAACGAGTAATTCGGGCAGAATGCGATGCTTGAGATCCTCTACTTGGAACATACTGACGAAATTGTTGAGATGCGTCAAAAGTAACAGTCTCACGGGTGAATCACGAATGCAGAACATTTGTAACAATTGTGGAACTAAACAAGTTTGGAATGTAGACATGGTTAACAAACCCACATCTTGATCGGTTACTGAAAATAAGGTAAGAATTTAAATTATTGGATGTTTTCTACTTTGAAGTATAAGAAGATAAAATATTCTCACATTTTGGTTTAAGAATTAATGGCAGAAATTTAGCTTGAGCAGTAGAATCTAACACAACCAGTCTTGACAGTAATAATTTTCCTAGCTGTTCTGCAACTATTTTTTCAGGGAATTTTTGAAGTTGTGCAAATAAGTCACTGTAATCAATGAACATTCATTGAAAAGAAATGTATGAACTATTTACAATGATTACAGATGGAAAATAACTTACGTAAAAAATTCTTCCTTTTCACTTTCATTTTTCAAAGGTAATTCAGTTAGAAATGCATGTATCTTCATGAAGTCATGCATGAAGAATGGGTGTTCCAGCAAAGATGCCAGACTTGTATCTTTAAATCTAAGTTTACACAAATCTTTGAAATCTGCCAGACCTGGTACATCATCTATAAAAATATGCAATGAATCATTTATTTGTAACAATTATCTCTTGAAAATTAAGATTAAAAGACACCATAACCAACCATCATTTTTGAGTTTTAGCACATCCTCTGCTAAAACTGCAAATGCAAATTTGTCTATTTCTGAAGGAAAATTGGAAATATTTTGCAGGAGCGTATCTTCATCAGGTGAAATTGCTTTCTCATAACGAAAAGTCTTGATTTTTCTCATGTAAGCCTCAGTTATATCTGAGGTTTTACAGAGGAATTCAAGCCCACCGAGTTTCCAATTTCCTTCTGATGTCACGTAAACAGAGCTACTGCAGATGTTGTTGTGCGAACTAGCTGCATTGTTGTGCAAAAACAGCAGAGCCCTGAGTAAACTGTGCAAGCCGATACATATTTGAAGAGTAGTCTGTGCACCCACGACTTGAACCAACGGTCTGACTTCTTCAGACGCTAGGTAGAATTTGCTACCCTTGGACCAGGATGCCACGTACTTGAGTATGCATGGGTGTCGATGGAGCATCAAGTTCTAAAGTCAATAATCATCGAATCAATGACACATGTCAGTTTCTAAGAATGGGCTACAATTCAAAGAGAGGCTACACTAGTAGTACCTTAGCTGCTTTCTCCAAGGGCGATGGCTTGCCGAAGCTGGCATCCGAGTGCAAGGACGGTTCACTGATAAACACCGACAAGTTTTGCGGGTTAGAGCCGCTGATCGAGGCGTTGTGATGGCTCCAGAAATCGGTGATCTCCATGGCCTTCTCGTCGATTTCCAGACCCGTTGGTACGCTCTTCTCGTTGCCCATGATGGTCGTTGATCGACAGGACGAGCGGAGCCTCGGGGCGTGTAGTACAACACACACGCGAGAGTCGCACAGAGGCAGGGCACAGCACACACACGTCAAGTTCTTGTTGTGAATGGATCGATCGTTACCATGATGACGGGTTAGAGTTAGAGATAGAGATAGGCACGAGATAGAAGCAGAACGGAATGCGCCGGCTAATTTACATCGACATACATATTTAGACGTCGCGAAAAGTCGATCGAATTGTTAACAAACGACGTGTCGCGATTTGCGGTGTTGTGAAACGCGATCATATGATACGCCTCCGTCGTGTAGGCAGTAGTTGTCGTCTGGGAGTCGGCCGCGCATACTCGGTCGCGCATCATTGCCACTAAGCTGAGTGACACTGACTGTCAGTGGTCGTCGCGGCGCGGCCGGCGGCGGTTGTATAGCGGATCTTTAAAAAAGCGGCTGCTACGTGTCAATGTGTCATGTATATGCTGCTGCAGCACAATTGACGCTTATCCCACACATACACGCGTGCATTTGTAATCAGAAAAAGGAAATTTATTTTTCCTCGATAATCGTCGATAATTTTATTTGAATTACCTACATAATACATTATAATTTTTTACGTTAATCTTACTACTATGCGTTACTCGATTTTACGCCGATCGAGTTTTTATTTATTTTTTCTTTCCTTACGAATTTCTCGCCGAAAGAATAATACAAGACGAAACATCGCTACACACGAGATTAGATAAATTGACTTATTTGCGAGGCAGGACGATAAAGAGACGTGTTGTTTTCATATATTCTTCTCGATGTTTCGTGCACTCGAAATAATTACATATACGTTTTTGTTGATATACACGATAATAATATAAACATCGCGATCGTCAACTCGAATGTCAAGTGCAGCAAAACGGCAGACGACGACGACGAGCGAGCGAGCCGAGCGCATCGCGAAGGGGCGGCAGAAAAATGTGCGTGATCCATAGAAACCGGTTCGATCTCTGTCGCGGTGCCGATTGGCCGATTTCAAGGTCGCGATCTCTTTTTATAATAAATCACGCGCGAGCTCTTCGCGTTTTTGTACGAGCTGCACTCGAGACTCTTGTACCGGTGGGGAGTCGAAAATATGTCTTGGATAATAAAATTTGCAATTTAAAATATCATACTTTTGTTATTCGCGAAAAACATAATTACGAGCAAAAAGTTTAAGTCGACAAAGAGAGACGATGAACAGTTATGATTCCGTTGCGTTGATCCCGCACACTTATTATAATAATGCATGTGCCAAGTCGTACGTTTTTCGTTACATTATCATACTCAGAATCGGAGTAGCACTTCACAGCCCGACGAATTGATTTGCCCTTTTTTCCGAGCACGAAACCGGTCTCACCTCTGCCACGCATTCACGATTCTATTTATAAAACGTATTCTCTTTTTTGCCTCATCGCGGTATTATCGAATCGATATGCCCTTTTTGGTGACCACCAAACGATGTGTCATAAAAGTAGATGATCGTTTATAATTTTTTTTATTTTTTTTTATAGTCAAAGTCAATCTATTCATTGCGCTATAAAGTCTGCACGTACACATATTAAAGCCGCACGAGTGCAAACGCGCACCACGTTCAAGCGAACGATCGTGCGGCGACAGAGATATATAGAAAAAATAATTAAAGTCGAGTGAGAGAGAAGAATAAAGAAAGAAAAAAAAGAAATAAACTCATTGGTACGCACAAACGAGATATTACACTCGAAAAAAAAGGAGAGGGAAGAATAAAAAAAAGGAGCCATCCTCTCGTACGTGTGCGCGTACGTACTACGTCGCATACAATGTTGCACGCGTGCACATATACATCGCAAGAGAGACAGAAAAAGGAGGAAGGAGTGCCCCGTCCGGCGATCGCAAATCTCTTTTACCGCGGCGCGGGCGACTCCGCTATAATACTTGACGGGCGCGGGGGCAGTGCGTTTATATTCCGCCAAACTGCGGCGGCAGCGATCGCGAGGCACACGCAGCGCACACGAGCGAAGCGCGTGAAACCGGTAGTTCATTATACGTATGCAGTTTCGGTGTTTTTATAGAGTCGAATTGGGCGAAGCATATACAATATCGTTTGTGTACACGTGTGATACAGTGACCGAAACGTCGCAGTTGAGTCGATACAGGTGAGTCGCAATTTCTTCTTATTATTTTTAAATTAGAGCCGTGCGCGTTTTTCCGCGTGCAATTAATCAACGACTCGGTCGGCTTTAGTTAACGCGCATTTTCAACGGTTTTTTTTTAATTTAATTTTTTTATCATAAATTGTGGACGACAAACTTGTTTCGGGCCGAAAGATCGCGCGCCTAATTCGAATCCAAAACAGTCGCGTACAGCTGCGCTCGCGATCTGCGCGTTGTTTATATTATTGTTTAAATACTCTCGCAGGTCAGGCGTGCATCAAGCGATAACACCGGTATATATATAATATGGCACATACGCACACACACACACACACACACACACACACACATTCACGAAGAGCGCAACAAATAACTCATCAACTCGCGCGCGCGTACGATTGCAAAAACAGAAAAAGAAAGAAAGAAATAAATAAAGAAGAAGAGAAAGAGGAAACGAGAGTGTAAATGCGCTGGCGTATAAGCGCATATAATTTTGCATTATGAAAACCTCGTTCGCTCGAATAGCCGTGTGTATCGATCGGTAGAATCGTGCGCTCGGCAATGTATACAATGAATTAGCATGCGAGATCGCCTATACATCACATGCATACATATACATGCGAAGCGCACACGCCAGTGTGCGCACGTGCTTCGTTTGTTGTTTTTCCGAAAGCGCGCACGACTCTCCGAAACTTGTACGTACACGAAAAAACAATCGACGCGCGATATATCGATTTTTCATTCGCGCGCGCGAAATTATCATTCATATATTCCGTGTATTCGCGCACGACACCGAGCTGCGGGGATCTCTCGAACACTCACACACGAGCGTGAATATTTTGTCATCACGTGCGAGAGCCTATATAATCGTACGTATTCAAACATAATCTCTCTGTATCGATTAATGTATTGATGCGCTTTATCGATTGTCAATGCCTATTTAATCGTATTCGATTATACTCGCGGTGTTTATCAATAAAAATTCACACGCTCGTATTTTTAACTCGAAACAGCGTTCGATTTAGGCGTTCATTTATTATTACCGTGTAAATGCTTTGCAGGACATATATACGTATAGTAGTGCACAATGTGCTCGGCCGGCCTATTACAATACACATCGTGCAACACGCGCCACTCGACTTAACGATCAATTATATCGGAGACTGTGTCGACGACCCTTTTTGCGCTTGATCGACACTGTAGCAGCAGCAGCAAGTGCCTTTACTCGTGCTGTAAAACTTATAATCTAACTTTCTCTCTTCTTTAGCGTTAGCCGAAGAGAAAAAAAATGCGATTACGTCGCAGCGCTTTAATAATATTTGTTGTTATTTAAAAACATATATATAATATTATTGCCTGTTTATAAATGCTTTCCGGGGGCAGCAATATAGCTGTGCTCTCGTTGATAAATAAATTTTTGTTTTTATAATACCATCGGCGCGCTTATCGGAGCCACTCCAACGGAGCGTTAAAAATATATTTTCTTTGCGAATCGATCGGTATATAGCATCGATCGTATCGTAAATATTATATATAAAATGCACATGAGAAGGAAACAAAACGAACAAATACTCATCGCTCAATTATTATAACTTTATCAAAAATCTGTCAATTTATTAAATGCACTTTGATCATTGTCTCTTTTTCTCTGTTTTCTTTGTACAGAGCTGCAGTTGTACCGAAACAATTCGAATACTTGAGAGCAGTAATAATTGTACCGATAATGTTCGACGTGTAGCGAGAATTATTTGAATTTTATCGGAAACTTTTTGTGCGTTGCCTCCCCGCACTGGGAGTGCACACGAGAGAGAGAGAGAGAGAGAGAGAGGCACTTGGATATAATCAAGAAAGAGAAAGAAAGAGAAAGATATATAGGACGAAAAAAAGAGAGATAAAGCAAGCGAGAAGAAGAAGCAGCAGCGCTGGGTGCTATGAGCCGCGCCAGCAGCAGTAGCTGCAGCAGATTAGTAGCGGCTACTCGTGCGGCTGCTACTACAGCATCATCGTCTTCCTCGTCGTCTTTGAGGGGCTCGCCATTGCGACAGCAGCAGCCGGGCAGCGACGCCGGAGCAGCAGCAGCAGCAACAGCAGGTCGATTCGCTTACGGTTTCGTCGATCGGGCAAATGAAATGTTGCGGGCCACCACTAGCAAGGTACGATATTTTACACGAGGGCAAAAAACGCAGTGGCTCTATTAAGATTGTAAAAAATCGGTAATTTGCAGTTTAAAAAGTGGCACGGTAATCTGAGCCGGTCGCTTGGCACTCAGACCCCGTCGACATCCACCAGCAACAGCTGTATCAAAGATGCACCGGTCAAAGGCAAAATCGAATTACCCGAGTCCGCCGATGTCGTCATCATCGGTAAGTCTTTCAACGATATTATCTACATAGATTGCGCTACGAAACCGATCTCTTCACAATTGCGTTGGCTTTCGATCGCGCGCAGGTGGCGGAGTGGCCGGCTGCAGCGCGCTCTATCACTTGGCCAAGCGGGGGGTGCGCGCCGTCCTACTGGAGCGCGCCCAGCTGACCTCGGGCACCACGTGGCACACCGCGGGCATGTGCTGGTCGCTCAGGCCCTGCGAGACCGAGATCGGCCTGCTGCGCTCGACTCAGCGCCTCGCCCAGGAGCTCCAGGAGCAGCTCGAGGAGGGCGAGAGCTCGGGCTGGTCCCAGAACGGCGGCCTGTTCATCGCCCACAGCGAGCAGCGCATGGACGAGTATCGTCGACTGGTCGACATCGGCAAGGTGTTCGGCGTGGGGGCGAGCATCGTCGACTCGCTGGCGGCCAAGGAGCTGTTCCCGCTGCTGGACGAGCGAGCCTTCCTCGGGGCCATACACTCGCCCAAGGACGGACTGCTGGAGCCGGCCCAGATGGTCGCGGCTCTGGTGAAGCTGTCGAAGCGTCGGGGCGCCGAGGTCTTCGAGGACTGCCCAGTGACGAGGATACTCATGGACGAGAAGATGTTCGGCGCGAGACACGTGACCGGCGTCGAGACCGAGCACGGCGTGATCAGGACGGACAAGGTGCTCAACGCCTGCGGCGCCTGGTCCAAGAAGCTCGCCAAGAGCATGAAGCTCGACATACCGCTGACCCCGATGAAGCACGCCTACGTCGTCACCGAGGCGCTGGCGGGCGACGCCGTACGAGGCTGCCCGAACATACGCGATCACGACTACAGCATCTACATCAAGGTGCAGGGCGACAGTCTGCACATAGGCGGCTACGAGGCCAATCCCATCATACTGCGCTGCGTCCCCAAGGACTTCAAGTTCGGCCTGTACGATCTCGACTGGAACGTGTTCAACGCCCATCTCGAGTCGATGGTCAGCCTCGTGCCGGAGCTCGGCAAGACGGGCATCAGGTCGACCGTGTGCGGCCCGGAGAGCTTCACGCCCGACCACAAGCCGATCATGGGCGAGGATCCGCGCTGCTCCGGCTTCTTCTACTCGTGCGGCTACAACAGCGCGGGCATGATGCTGAGCGGCGGCTGCGGCGAGGAGATCGCCGAGTGGATCATCAACGGCAGGCCCAAGGCCCACATGTTCTTTTACGATATACGCAGGTAGGAGCTGCACCGCGAGCAGTGAATCGAGCTTACCGATCGTAATTTCACGTAACTGCGATATTTAATGATGAATTTGTTGGAACAGATTTACACCCGAACAAACCAAGGACATGGTCTGGGCGAACGAGCGCTCGCACGAGGCCTACGTGAAAAACTACTCGATCGTATTTCCCCACGATCAACCCCTGGCTGGACGAAACTTTCAAACGAGTCCCTTTCACGAGGTCAGTGAAGTCTATGAGATTCGTATCCATAACCGATTCTCTATAGTATTTATGTCTATGTGTTTGTGCGTGTCTCGTGCGACGTACAGCTGCTGATGAAATCCGGAGCAGTGATGGAGGAGCGCCAGGGCTGGGAGCGACCGGGCTGGTACCTGAGCGACGAGAGCACCGCGCCGGTGCCCGCCTACGACTATTACGGCAGCTACGGCACCACCAGGCACCAGGGCAATCGCTACATCGACCTGCTCGCCCAGGATCACACCTTCGACTTTCCGCCGCACTTCGACAACGTGAGAGCTTACACGATTGTTTCATGAAAAAAAAAAAAATTCTTTCCATTCGAGGCTGAAGTGACGATCGAAATGTTTGTCCCTTGACGCGTGCACTTTGGGAATTGGGGGCTACTTTTGGGGGGTTCAAGGAGCAGAGGAATACGTAGGAACGAGCCAATTTTAGATAGCTAATTTTCTGTTATCGAGAACGAAAAATCGTGTTTTCCCATAACGGTGACTACTCATTCCGTGTTTGACATTTAAACGAAAGTTTCACGCGAATGTTCAACTACTGACTATGAAAAGTATCTTGAAAAAATTACTATATCTTCAGTAATCGTAGGATTTTTGAATCGGTACTGTTTCTATCGGATGAGTAGTGAAAAAAAACTTGGAGAAAACTTATGGCGAGTGATTCGCTTTAAAGAATAATTGACATTATAAAATTGACATCAACTTAAGGAGTTTAAAATTTTATTAACAAAATATGCCTCATTATTTTTCAAAATTTTATTAATTTTTTTTTACAACTTAAACATTGCTTTAACATAGTAGATATCATGGAAGGAACTCATGATATTATTATAAATGAACATATTAAATTTTTTCTTCCAGTAATAGAAATTAAAATGCTTACTTTTATTATGTTTTAATGCGTGAGTGACATGCTATGCAGTATACTTTTCATGTAATCTCTGCTTTATATTTCTTTCCGCTATTATCACGTGCATATGTGGCACCATTATGTTTTTTATATGGATGTGTCATGGAGAGAGCATTTATGCGTGAAAATCTTTCCTCATATATGACATGTATAGCTAATATCATTATGTACCACATTCATGTGACGTTTAAGACTACTCTTACTTTTGAATTTCATTTCGCATATATCACATGCGTAGGTAATACCTTTATGTATGGCATCGATATGATTTTTGAGTCTATTCTGTGTTGAAAATTTCTTGCTGCAAATATCACATGCATGTCTAACACCATTGTGCACTGAATCGATGTGTATGTTGAGATTACCCTTCGTCGAGAATTTCTTTCCGCAAACATCACATGCATGTGTGACATCATTATGCATCGTATTAATATGGATTTTGAGACTCTTTCGCGAACCGAATTTCTTTCCGCAAATATCACATGCATGAGTAATTTTATTGTGCACCGAATCGATGTGAATTTTGAGACTGACCTTCAGTGGGAATCTCTTTCCGCATGTAATACATGTATGTGTGGAACCATTGTGTACCGAATCGACGTGGATTTTGAGACTGCTCTTAACTGAGTAATTCTTTCCGCAAATATCGCATGCATGTTTGACACCATTGTGCGCAACGTCGATGTGTTTCTTGAGATCATTCTTCTGTGAGTATTTCTTTGCGCAAATATCACATGCATGTCTAACACCATTGTGCACTGAATCGATGTGTATGTTGAGATTGCCCTTTGTCAAGAATTTCTTTCCGCAAATATCACATGCATGTGTGACATCATTATGCATCGTATTAATATGGAATTTGAGACTCTTCTGTGAACCGAATTTCTTTCCGCAAATATCACATGCACGAATGATTTTATTATGCACCGAATCGATGTGAATTTTGAGACTGACCTTCTGTGTGAATTTCTTTCCGCATGTAATACATGTATGTGTGGAACCATTATGTACCGTATCGATGTGGGTTTTGAGACTGACCTTCTGTGTGAATTTCTTTCCGCATGTAATACATGTATGTGTGGAACCATTATGTACCGTATCGATGTGGGTTTTGAGACTGCTCTTCTGTGTGAATGTCTTTTCGCATATATCGCATGTATGTTTAAGACCATTGTGCACTGACTCGATGTGCTTTTTGAGATTACCTTTTAGTGAAAATGTCTTATTGCATACTTCACATGCATAAATTGTATCATTACGTACTACACCATTGTGCGTTTTGAGTCTATTGTTTTCCGCAAGTTCACAGTCGAAATTTGATTCTTCTGCAGTGTCACCAACAAATTCCTGTTTCACTTCATTGCACTCGATTGCTGATAAATTAAAATTGGGCTTGACGTCTTCACATTCAATAACCATTTCCACTTCGTTATCGAGTTCAATTTTGTGATTTTCATTTTTTCGAAGAGTATGTGTCTGTCGAAAAATTAAATAGGAGATACACATAATAATGATACGAGTTACATAAAATTATCAACACTTACCGAATTTTCTCCCGAAAATGGCAAGAGATGAAAGTTTTTTAGATCGGGTTTCTCATCAATCATCTCGCGATAGTTTTCAGTACTCGAATTATCAGTTGGCTCCTGTTTCACCCTGAAATAACCTCAATGTCCTCAATAAGATCATGTATTATTTTGGACTATTTTTATAATCTGATTTTCGAAATATGAAAGTTACCTGACTGAACAATTAAGATCATTGGATTCCATCTTTCTCACCTCGAATTGCTTGGAATGTTTCAGCAATGCTTTAATATAGTAAACTAACAAAACTACTGTGCTCGTTTTATTTTGAAAAATTATGTCTGTACGTGATGGAGAGCAATGAGCATCAACTTATGCTCGACTAGCTTTGCTCACAGCCCTCTCCGTGTTCGGTAACACAATTATGGCATGCACTATTATGGTGAAACACTATGCGCGTTCCAGACAACATACGGAGGTCACTCATACGTACACTTGAAATGCACGATGTAAACAAAGTGTTGAACTCGTCTAAATCATCGATGTTGTCTCTTCCCGAGTTTTTACGCGAATAGCTTAAATTTCAAATCATTAAATTTCGAAGTTGTTGATGTGAACGAAGCAAAATTAAATCAACAAAGAAACGAGATTATGTATCTTATGTATAATACATAGTTAAAATATTTCAATAATTGATATATTGTAACGGAAAAATGAGGTATTAGTGTATTAGTTATAGTTTCAAGTAAAAACTTTTTTGTTACAGAGTAAAATTTCGTAAAAAATTTAAATTTTTATGTGAATTTATGGGTATACCTCTCGGTTACTGTAAACATGGTCATTTTTTTTTATGATTTTTTTTTCAATGTATAAATGCACAAATGCGACAACCGTTAACTTTAACAGAAAAATTGTATAAGATAAAAAGGGTCAAAAATCGTTCAAAGAATAGGTGTGAATTCTTAAAGAATTTTTTTATACGTTTTAAATAGTTATTCAATGTAAAAGAGAGTCAGAGAAAAGTTTTGAATAATTTTGACAAGGTCAAACACAAAATGAACAATCAAATACACAAGAATTTTCGTCCTCCGAAACCCATAAGTAGCTATAGAGAAAATATCTATCAACATTTTTATTGTTCACGCGTCAAGTCGCAAAATTTTCAATCGCAATTTTTGGCTTCGAATAAGAAATTTTCTCCAAAATTATTTATAATCATATTTTTGAGTTTCACGTCGCGGAATCTACCACTGCCCGCTCTAATTTTTTTTTTTTGGCGTGTGCTCGCAGATAAGGGAGGAGGCGCTGGCCTGTCGCAACAACGCGGCCCTCTTCGATCTCTCGTACTTCGGCAAGTTCTACCTGTGCGGGCCGGACGCGCAGAAGGCCGCCGACTATCTGTTCACGGCCAAGACGGACTCGGACATCGACAAGACCGTCTACACGACGATGCTCAACGCCAAGGGCGGCACCGAGGCCGACTGCACCATCACCTGGATACTTCCTGGCTCGAGCAGCGTCGTCGATCCCATCTTCAAGGGCAAGGCCCTCTACATCGGTACGATATCGTTGCATTACCAAAAAATTTTTTTTCTCAACCTAATAGACCCTCGATAATTATATTATAATAATAGTCTCGGCCGGTCTGTCGTCGTACCACACCTGGGCGCACATACGGCGCGTGATCGCCGAGAAGGGCTTCAACGTGAGCCTCAGCGACGCCACCAATCAGATGGGCGTGCTCTCGCTCCAGGGCCAGAACAGCCAGAAGATACTGCAGAACATCGTCAACGAGGACCTGTTCGCCGACGACTTTCCCTTCTCCACCTCCAAACTCATGAAGGCCAACGGTAGGAAAGTGCGACTGTTTCGCATCAGTTTCGTCGGCGAGCTCGGCTACGAGCTCCACGTACCCCTGGAGTCGTGCGAGCGAGTCTATCGCGGCATCATGGAGTACGGCAAGAGGTGGCGACTGAAGTTGGCCGGATACAGGGCCCTGTACAGTCTGAGCTGCGAGAAGGGCTATCACCTGTGGAACTCGGATCTGAGGAGCGACGATAGCCCACTGGAGGCCAATCTGGGATTCACCTGTCGCAAGGACGGAAAGTACTTGGGCAGTCAGGCGGTGGAGGAGCTGAGGAAGAGCGGCGTCAAGAAGCGACTGGTCACGCTGCACGTCAAGCAGTGAGTGACGATTACCGATTTTTTATACAATTTTTGCTGATAAATTGACGTGGATGTGATTTTTTTTGTTCTAGTCAAGTACCAATGTGGGGATTGGAAACCGTATACAGAGACGGCGAGATCGTGGGATACCTGAGACGAGCCGAATACGCTCACTACTTCGGATACAGTATTGGACACGCGTGAGTATAAATTAAATCAAATTTTTGTATCGCATATCCTTTCATAAGATTCTATATAATGCTAATGATTTAATTATTTTTCTTTTCAGATACATAAAGCATCCTCGGGGCGAGGTGGTCACCAAGGAGTTCCTCGAGGCCGGCAATTACGAGGTCGAGATCAAGGGCAAACTCTTCCCCGCCGACATGTACTTGAAGAGCCCGTTCGATCCGCAGAACAAGCGATTGCTCAACGTTTATCACGAATTTTACGATAACAACTGACGATCGTGCACGTACCCACCAAGAGCTTGTATAATTTTAGCTGTGATGTTTTATTTTTTATATTGATAACGATAATTGTATTTTTTGTATGAGACTACTACTTTTTTTTTTTTTAATTAATCAAGCCAAGTCAGGAGGTGATGTAATTTTATTTAAAGTTAATTGAGCAAATCATAATTTTAATGTTTCTGTAGTCTGTAGTGTATTATAATGTTTCTGTATACTATTGCGTAATAAAAAATATATTTTTACATGAAAATTTTTGTATTTATGTTTTTATCAGTTTTCAAATAATAATGAATATTATTAATAAACCAAAGAGCTAAAAAACTACGTACGATTAAATGTTGAGAAATACATCGATGATAATCGATACACAATTTCAAACTCGCAATTTCGAGTAAACGCCATCTATTGGATTCTGTAGGTACGCTCGACATTTGACATATATTACGGTTTTTACGATCAATAATGCTGGAAAATTTTAAATATGAATAATATTTATATATTATAATATTTTTACTTGATTTCCACGTAATTAAACAAAAATATTCAACATAAAATGAATTAATCAATATTCTTAGATGTAAAACGTCAATGTCTGCAGCAGAACACAATACTTTGTATGGTAAAGTCGTTTCGAGCTCGTAGCAGAAACCTATGATTCCAACGACAACATTATAGATAGGACTGGTGCAGTCAGTTTGGGGTGTCAATTCTTTTTCAGGCTGCCCACCGATAGAAACGGTAATTATTTAAGTGTTTTTATTCAAAATTGTCAAGGGCTTTTCGTGAATGTTTACTCATCAATCGATCTTCTGTTTACTTCCAGGTTGCAACATTCCACATCGTCTTTCTCACTAGACAGCATTTGAAGGTTAGAATGAACCCAATGGTTTGACACTTGTAATTTATTGTTTTCAAAATGTAAACAAAAGCTTGAAAAACGCAGTATTAAATAGTCTTTTTAGTGATCAGTTTCTTGTAAAATACAGTAAGTTCTTAGTCAACTTTTATATTGACTATCATAGTATTTAGAGCATCTTACATAACTTACCAAACAAATGCATACGATTGCCTCAATGAAAGTGACATGTTTTATAAAAACAAGTAGTAAATCACCATTTGTTAATTAAAGATTGATTGAAAGTAAAAGATAAACAAACCGACAAGTAACTTTATACTGAGGTTGACTCTCAAGTAAGCAAGCTACGTATGCAAATTTTTTGAGTAAAATAATGACAGTGGCTACGCTACGCAGTATTATTTCAAGTTTTTGATTTCTTTGAAAACATAAGTTAATTTTATGTTATTATAATTTTCAAAACAATATTATAATTGCAATATTTTAGTAAAATCAAATAAAATGGTTTTTATAAAAATAATGAAATCAATAATAATTTACAGGTTGTAACTTGGATTCAAAATGGTTGAAACATCTGTCATTGTCCATACAGTTGTGTGGAGTTTTATGATTGCTATGGTAACAACAGATTTTTTCAATGGTAGATGGGATCTAACAGGTCCATATCCAAGAAGACCACTAGCAGATCCCAGTCAAGATAGGTGGCCCAAGAAGAAAAAGGAAGAACAATAATTCAGTCTTTGTTACATCTAATATTAAGTATCATTGAAAATGGTTTAGTAGAAATCAAGTTATGTGGCAATATGCTGGTTAACATAATATTCATGAGAATAGAATTTGAAATAATGGATATCTTAAAAAGCCATAATATATTCAATGGATTCTTTAAAAAAGGAATGTGATGTTATTTATTGTAACGACCGCTAATGATTTTTTTTTTCAAATTTCATGATTCAATTATATATTCTGGTTATTTTTGTTTAAATAAAAAGAAGGTAGAATACACATTGCAACCAACAAACTAATTATGTCAATTTTGTTTTCTAATTTTGAATATTTTCAAGTTAAATTTCAAAGATTATCAAGTTATATTCATTTTATTAAATTATGCTCTTCTTAATTTAAATTCTTAAACAAACAGTTCAATTATTTGTTACTAATTTATATAATTTACAATAAGAAAAAAATTTAATTCATTCTCAGTAAAAGATTCTTCATTACTCTTTCTGTTGAAATTCTGACACAGTAGAATGACTATGTGCACGAAACTAAAATTACTCTTGATCGCTCAAGTAGAAATGAAAATGCTTAAAGTGATTATTATGATTTTTTTCATTAGAGTGCCTTAACCATTTAAAAGAAAAATTTGATAAAATGCCCATCATTTTGTTCAATGAATTATATATTATTAAATCAAGACAAAGTTGTATACTTGCGATATATTTTCAAAACTAGTTTAGATTTTCTAATTTCTCCATAAATTGAAATCAGTCGTGACAATTGAGTTTAAACGTAATAGATTAGTATTTTTTCGCATCAACGTCGTTTCTATACCCTTCATCCATGCCAACCAAGCTTACAATCGCTCCTCGCGATTAATTAAAAGCAGTGCCGCGCGCGCGACGAGATCGGCAGCAGAAAAGCTGCGAAATGCATTATGCCAGGCGTGTCTTCGTCGTTCGCCTATACTATATACCACCGCCGTTCCTCGATATCGACACAGAAGAGTATAGCGCAGCATTCCTCTCGTTATTCTCGTTATGATACTTATTGCCGACGGATGCGTGTGTGTGTGCAAGTGCATCAGCAGCAGTAGGATGGTAGGTAGTACCTGTCATCCCGCACGCAGCGCAGTTATATACGTACAGTATAGTAGCACTTCTCCGCGCGCTTTCCCGAACATCGCCGAGGTAAATTAAATTTTCAGTCGCGCGCGTGCTTAGGAGACGACGACGACGACGAGCGAATTGATATAAAGTACGCGATCCACGAGCGGCGGGGCTTTATATTCCTCGAGCTTCATGCGAGCAGCTCGCTCGGCATAATACGTTACCTAGCTAGCTTTTTTTTACTCTCTTTGTTTTTGCCCTCATCGAGAACGATACGCTATTACTCTCTCTCTCTCTCTCTATTTTCTTTTTACAATTGTACGCACACCTTGGCTGTTTTTTCCTCTCTTTTTTCGTGGGGGTTGACGCGTACTTCTATTGCGCAGTGCCGAGAAAAGCGCGAAGGATATATACTTACGCTTGGAGTTTCGCCTAGGAAATGCATTTGGTATCATTTCCTTATGGTGCTGCTACTGCTGCAGGAGAGAGAGACCTTCGTCGCGCGCGAGAAACGTGAGATGTTTCGTCAAGTCAACCGATATCGATTTTGAGCCATTCGCGCGGCATCGTACGGCACGTGTGCGCCGCGAATGGGCGCCCCTTTGACTTTGCCATGCTTGCGACACATCTTCCTATCCCATTTTTAGTCGTACAATTTTATCTCGCGCGCGCTATAGGCTCGCTTTTTACCGTGAAGATCTTTCCGTTGAGTTTTTCCATATAGGCTAAAATGGCTGATCCAATTATGTAGATTGTTTGTAATTGAATGCAATAATCCATTACACGATCATTGTTCCTTCTTGAGGTAAGACATATTTGTTGATTTGAAAAGAATAATAATAACCAATTAATTTTTAACGATGAAGAGGAACTTTATTAAACATTACAATAATATTTATAAATTGACGGATGATACATTAAATACTTGTGTTAATTAATTATTTATACTCAGACTTTTAATACGGATTTAGACATTTTTTAGTAAGTTACGACGTATACGACGAATTTATAGCAAAGATTAAGGGTTTTTTGTTTTAGTCAACAACGACATCATCATCATCACAATATTCGGTAACTACAATAGAAGGTATTATGAAATTATGTGCATGCTCACTTCGCACCGACTGCGCCTCGACGTAGTCCTTGTTTTGCTCGTCATCCGAGGCCAATGACATTTTTTCGACTTTAACAGTTAAAGTGGTCGTTACACTCGAAGCACCGCACGAAGATTTCTCCTGATCTTCGCAATCCGGCCTCGAACCAGCAGCAGTCGAATCGTCAGACATGATTACTATGAAATTTAATTTAAACGGTTATTTATTGCAGGAAATGCATCGACAAAAGGTCGGAAACGATCCGTACTTACTTCGTATGATTCTCGAATTATGAAAAAGTTTTATTTCGTCAACTCGCCACTAAAGCTCGGTAGTTAATGAGCACTGGTACACGAGACACGATGTATATATCGCGACTCGGCCCAACACCATTAAGATTATTTTGGGATTCATTGTTTACTAATTCGAAATGTAGTCATCGTAATAGACGAATGTATCAGTCAAATCATCGAACTTCGTAGTATTCCTCAAAGATAACTATCAATAAATTACGATTCGTGTATTGAACTAATATTTTTTATAGATGTAAAAATGTCCTTGTCAGGGTCTGATTTTCTATTCGGTTACAAAGTAAGTTTTAATTGATTTGATATGTTTCGTTTGAGCTGCACGGGCAATTTTTATGTAATCAATGAATCAATCAATGAATTGCATTCAATTTTATCAATGGTAATTATTCAAATAAGCCAGTCTAATCCCCAGTTAATGCTACTGTACACAATTACGGAGCAGTTCTTTTCTGTCTATTAATAGTAGATTAGAGGCCCACGGAAACAAAATATAGAAAATGTCAGAGTTCCCACATAAATCATCAACGGAAACGAAGCTAGTATTATTTTTTACTTACACCATCTTTCGTATATTATTTTTTCTTGAAATATTTCTCGGCAGGAAGTAAAGCTATTTCATTCAGGCCCCCACCTGTGAAATAGTAAAATCCGAGATGGGTCACGAAAAAAAAGGTCAAAAGAAGGGGTATCTACGTCACGCGGGGTTCCCAGGCGGTCACCCATCCAAGTACTAACCGCGCTCAACTTTGCTTATATTCGGTGATCGGACGAGAACCGTAGTTTTCAAAGTGATATGGACGTAGACATTAGTGCAGATTCGGAGCACGAACGATTTCGGAGTCATTTTATTATATGATTTTAGAGCCCGAAAAATTTTGTAGCAATTTCTAAAGCTCGATTTCGGAGCATTTTAATTCCAATCTAAATGATTAATTTATGTACGAGAACATCAGTAAATCCTGTACTTATTTGTAGTTTCACGCAGAGCCTCGCATAAAAAATTCATAAATTTCATCCGTCATACATTACAGCTACAGCTAGTATCATATCGAAAGGTTTCCTTTTCGATAACAAAATGATTATTTAGATTGGTACGCGAAGCTCTCACAGTCGAGCTTGCGGGTCGTGGAATGCAGCAAAGTTGAAAAGAATAAAAGTTACGAGCGCGTAATATCGCGCGCATTCCCTATCATATACGCAGTATATATGCGAGTGCAGATTCATACACATAAAAGAAAAGCGAGAAAGAGCGCAAAAGATTCATAAGTTTTCTCGAGTAAATTCAAGCAATTCGCAATGAGTGCTAAGGTATGATCAGCTGCATCAAAGAGCAGCATCATCATCATCGTCGTCGTCGTCCAAAGGCTCGCCTTCGCGCGTCTCACGCATTCAAAAGTATAGATAGTCTACGTGATGCGCGTGTATGCATATTCAGTCTCTGTAAGGCTTCCGGAATAGCGCGCGCACGTTACTCGCACCAGAGAGGAGAGCTTGCGAGAAGAAGCCGGAGCTTGCGCGCACATATAGGGAGCTTTTCCGCGCTCTCTACGTACGTATGCAAGCTCCGGTACAGTATCCATATAGCAGCAGGTATATATAAGATTTTAAGCTGAATGTATAATGCGCGAGAAAGGTGTGTAGCCCCGACTAGAGAGAGAGAGAGAGAGAGAGAGAGAGAGAGAGAGAGAGAGAGACAGAGACAGAGAGAACCTGCGTGCGTACATACGTATAACTGCGCTCTCGCGCGCGAGCTTCGGGCTCTCTGTACGCCGGGGTGTGCTCTATATATGCCGCCGCCGTTGCCGCGCATACAAAGGAGACGCGCTGGTAGTAGACGCCGCCGCCGCGCGCAGAGGATGCACCCGCGTATAAGCAAGAAGATGAAGAAGCAATTATTCTAATGGAGGCTTTGGGAGGATTGTGGTCGAGACAAGTGAGGTAATCCATGAATAATACCGGCGCGCTGCCTGCCTCTGCCTGCCTGGCTGCTGTTGCTGCTGCTGCTGCTGCTTCAGAAGGGGGGTTTCCTGCATGCAGCAGAGAGAGAGAGAGATAGAGAGAGAGAGCTGCCTCGCGCTGTCTTTCTCCTCTCGGTGGTGCGCAAAGCTCCCTTTCTCTTGCTCTATACTCGTCTCATCTCTCTCTCTCTCTCTCTCTCTCTCTCTCTCTCTCTCTCTCTCTCTCTCTCTCTCGCTCCCTCTCTATATATGTATAAATATAGCACGTATATATACAAGACTACACTCGGCCTTTTCCACCATTAGCACAGACATATCTGCTAATATTATGCTAAACTTGCGCGTAATCCTCAAATACCTTCGTGACCTTTGACATGTGTGCGCGGTGGCACATACGCCAAAAGCAGCAGTAGCAGCAACAGCAGGTAGTCATCTGCATCTGTATAATAATAATGGTATCAATAATTCTAATAATATATAATCGCTCACGTTTGTGCGTTCGATTCGTTTAAACAATATAAGCGTATAGAGTTTACAGCAACCACGATAATTTTCTGCTTCCGCTTTAAACCAGTCTGTTTTCTACAATCAGTGGATCAGGCTGAATATTTTCTAAAACTTGTACCAAAGTATTTTCTGATAATCCAGTTATAATACAGAATCCATCATGTGCATCTGGGTTCAGAAGAATGTATACAAGTGACTGTGAAAATTTGGAAATACTTTGACTTGGTTCACCATATCCATATTTTTATAAGTAGTTTCAAATTTCTTGCCCTCTCTATGTCACCGAGTGAGTTAGAAAGTGTGCTGATTATTAAGTTGTTGACTTAATTCACAGTTGACGCTGCAATTTGGTATACACATGATCTTGGGTAGTGCTTGTAAACCATTGTTACATATTTGGCGAACAGTTTCTTCATGACAAATTGATTCGAGAAATTTCAAGCCTCTCTGGTTCAACTTTGGAAACCTTATCCACAACAATAACAAGAACAATTACAAATTAACTTTATTTTATAATAAATACATTGATAAGGTATTTAAGATATATTCAATCAAACATTGCATATGGTCCAAAATACTTATGAGACAAGTCATTGAATGCACCAGTTTGTTGAGAAAAAAACTTATTGTATTAATCGATAGCGACCAACCTTTTACATTGTCTTATTTTTGCAGTTGATTTTATTTAAAGAAGTTCACTCCCGTACATTATGCATATCCAAGTGTATTCAATGATGTTTTGAAGCTGAATGATCATTTCACAGGTTTGACATTATCTTCATCACAGTTGAATAACCTCAACGTTTCTTCTCATTTTGCTAATTACCTCTCTCATCTCTCCCGTTTCCCGCTTCTGCCGCTAGGTGGCTCCGACCGCAATAGTCGCTCTCCACAAGTGACATGTCGCTGCCAGGGCTTAAGAAGGGGGACTCGTTTCTTAGCCAATAGTATTCTCCAATTGATTTGAAAAAGAAAATATCTTGAAAATTGTACCTAGTAAAATGCTGTTTAAAATTTTTTATCCAAAATTCCTGAACGATTTATCTAAAATACAAGTACAATTTACTTGAATTAGACATTTTTTTGTACATTACTAACAGTTATCAAGTAATCGAACCAATTCAATCCTTTTCAAAAATCTTCCGTAGAATTTATACTATGCGTACGCGCCTCTTTTTTACAGATCTCCCAACTCGTGATATTAAATTTTTCAGAATGATTGGGTCAAAGAGCATCGATCTCCAATTGATCAACAACTTTCGTTGCGTACAAATTTCTATTTCTATCCCATCGGCAAAAGGGCGATTCGAACGTCGAAAAGAGCCCCGGCGACTCTCGGCTGCGTAATAAAAAAGCTCGGTGGTACAAAGAATACCAAACAAGCTCGACTCTCGCTGCCTGCAACTGTTACGCAGAGCAGCAGGAGCAGAGCTATAGCAGTATATAGTAAAAAGTCACACACAGTCGACGGCGGCTGCGGCGGTGCACATATTTGCTCCTGACCGGTGTTTCAAGCTCGACGAGTTTTCAAGCCTCGGAACGTACTCGGCCGGGCAGATCTGTATGTAGCACTTTGTGCCATACTGCAGCCACCCACACTCGCATATCCACGTATACCCTCGCACACGAGCTTCGGTATTGCTTTTTCTCGTTTATTTCGCCAAGGGGCCAAAGACTCGAGAAACAGCTCGCGCGATCGAGCTCAAAGCCGCGCGTATCGCGCGGGAGGACGTCCCCGAGGAGCGATTCAATCTTTCTCAACGTGTAAAATAAAATCATCCGCCACATACAAGTACCGGGTCTGTATACCCCCCTCCCCCTCCGCCCACCGCTCGTTTACGTTTGAGGTTATGTCTCGCTCGATTCCAGTTTTATGACGAATTGGCATTTCTCACCAGCGCGCCCGTTTCCAGCAGCTTTTCTCGCGCGCGCTTCATCTCTTTCTCTCTCTCTCTCTCGCCCTTTTTTTTTATATACGTTCGGAGTCGAGGCCAGTCTCGGACCTGCCGTGAACAGAAACAAGTAAAAAGCTTTTTTGAGCAGCAGCTTTTCGTTCCGGGTTACGAGTTGGATGTAAAAAAAAAAAGAGAAAAAATTATATCGACAAGTTACTGCGGTCGTTCAATTTTATACAATTTCGAGAAAAAAACCGTAAAATACTCGGAATACTGTACGAGCATTAGCGAGGATAAAAATTGTTTTTGAATTAATTTTACGCGTCGTATTGAATTTCGCCGATCGAGTATAGATTTACTTGTTCTCCCTCTCGTTTCTTTTAATAAACGAATCATGAAATTTTTCGCAGCTTATAATACAGATGAGTATCGCGGACGAATCGATTATAAGCCGGCTTATTTCTGATTTTTCGATATGATATAACTTTACGCGAGCCGCAACGATATCAATGTCCAGCGGGCTTTTTTTTTTAACACGCAGCGATTTTTCAAACCAGTTGAGTATAAATTTATTGCAAGCTCGTGATATATGTATTATTATGTACCTTAATACAATCGTGTAAAGTATGTGTAATGTCATCATTTCGTACATCAAAAAAAAAAAGCTTTGCTCGCGCGCACAGAAGCGACGATATTAATTTTTTTCTCTTTACTTGAAATCCGCTTTTCGCAGCATGTAACAGGTTCATGTATAGGTGCGTCATTTATATAGAGGCCGAGTGTGCAGTAACGTTTGAAAAAGTCTGAAATTTTTTTATGATTATCTAAGTGTGTATGTCGGATACACGTGCGAGCGAGAAAAACCGGGAGGAAAAAAAAGAGAAAATTAAGGTAGCCTCTCTGCAGCGAAGAAGAAGAAGGAATAGAAGAGGAAGAGCTTGCAATCTGTATATACGCAATCCGCGTGCGCGCAAAAATCGTCGGTAATCACGAGAAGTGAGCATATATACATTTTCCCCAGCCTTTTTTCTTTCTTCGGGCAAAAGCGTTCAAACATTTTCCCGTAAAGCAGCTATAGCTCGCTCGTAGCGATATAGCGCAGGGGGGGCCAACTCGAGCGCGAGCTCGTTGCAGTTATATATACGCGATCGAGGAGGAAATGCACAAGAGAGAAGGAAGCAAGAAGTATAGGTCGACGATCCTCGAGAAGATATAGTTTTATATATTTCGAGTGAGAGAGAGAGAGAAAGAAAAGACGCCGCAAGCCAAGCACCTAAAAGTATGATAGTATATCTGACAAGTTTTTAATGCGTGGGTGTATACGTGTGTAATACACACACACATGTATAGAGAAAGATAGACGTGTAACGTCTGCAGGAACACGTATAGGAGGGCAGAGAAAGGGCCGTTTTCACGGGTGTATTATGTCTGCGGGCGCCGCAGTAGGTGTATGTGTGAGTGTGTGTGCAAGTCTATGTATATATACGCTACTATCCACGAGTGAGCCAAGCGGCTCCTGACGAAGCACTTAGCGATATTAGTAAAACCTATAGAGGCAGGCTAGGCAGCGAGCTAGTACCACTACTACTACACTGCGGCGGAAAGTATTACGCGCGGTAGCAGCAGCAGCAGCAGCAGCAGGGCAAAAGTGAAAAAGAGAAATAGAGAGACAGCGCGAGCGAGCGAGCGAAAACGAACGAGCGGAAGAGAGTGTAGTAGTACGAAGGGGGTGAGAGGGTAGAAAGAGAGAGAAAACGACACACAGAGAGCTTGCAGAGAGCGAGGAGATTCTCCTATACTACTGGACGTGTATCTCGCAATTTGCTGCTGGGCTTTTTTCGCGCTCGGGCTATCAACCCTATGGCTTGCGTGGCCTGCTAGTACTAGTGTAGGTAGTTGGTATAGCTAGCCGGATCCTATTCATACATATATGTGGCACAGCCAATCCCAACCCGAACGTTTTGGCCTGTAGGTACGATACCACTGGCCGTCGAGGGTAGCAGATATATACACTCACAAAAACACACATACTTACACACAAGTATACGAGCCGATCTCTTTCTCTATACGAGGCTAAGCGAGTGGGGACACAGCATCGGCAGGCGCAGCAGTAGATAACGAGTCGGAGAGAGAGACAGAGAGAGACAGAGATGAAACTCGGCAGATTTCCAGACGCATTTCTTTCGCTGCGAATTGGCTCTTATCCCGAGCCCGACGCTATACATAATACGTGGCACATAATAACGCCCGAACAAACGACGGTGAGAGACAGGCCAAGCCTTTTGTGTAAATTGACGCGTGCACGTATCTCTCGTTGTACATCTCCGTTATGAGAGAGCAGTCGTGTACATGACGAATTCATCATAATGTATGAAGCGCCGGATTATCAGACTCACATACACAGACACACACGTGTCTCTTATACGTCCTCCCTTATATCATACTTGTCCCTGTATCGAGCATTATAGTGCTGCTTATTATTATCCGAACGAACAGCGATGCCGATCCTGCTAATGACAAGTCTACTTTAGCCTGTATTTCCCTTCTTTTTTTCAGTAAAACGACAGTGTCATGCCGAAGATCGATTCTATATTATTCATATTATACCCGTACAGCTTTTGGCTTTTGGAATCGCTCGTCATATGGATATATGTATTGTACATATTATAATACCTTCACCCACCCTCAGAGCGTGAAAAATTCTTGTTTCGGTGAAAATTGTCCTCTTTTTATCCTGTCCTGTTGTTCGCTAGATAATGTCTACGGTAAAAAAGCTCGGTTAAATCTGCGCTAAAGTTCATGTTACTCCCGTTACGTTTCTCTGATAACGTATACTGCGACGCATCTTACTTTATTAATAAAATCAATTTAATTGTATACTTGAAAAAAGTAAGGAAATACAAAAAGTAAGAATACCGTTACTTAATATTAAATCCACTCGAAGTAATTGGGAAACGCGCACTCGATCTATATTTTCCGGAAGTCGTAAATCTCTCTTCGACCGATCCGGGCTATTATGTTCAAGTTGACAGCGAATGGCATAAATATTTACTCGTAAAATTCCACAACAGAGTTTTATTCGATACACTAGCTAGCACGTATAGCTCATTGAAAGTAATAATATAATGCGTTAAACGTATTGTACACACAAAGCATTATATTGGGCACGACTTTTTTTCTCAAGCGCCACCCGCACCGGCAACAGCAGCCGAAAAATCGAGTCTCACGTATCGTCTTGCGGGGCCCCACACCGGCTCGTATTATAATAATGCGGCGTACGATACAATGCGCGAGCACAGCACATAATGTATACACAGGCGCTAAAAACGAGTCGCTATAAGTGTATAGTGTATAGTGTATTATAACACGAGTCTATGGGTCAGTTCATGCACAATACATAAAAGTCTGACAGTCCCGGGGACCGCACGCCGCGCTGCAGATCGAGCTTATAATACTGCTCTTATACGCCCCCACTCGCACACACACGCGTGGCTGTTGGCGGCGGCTCCTCTCTTCCTGTTTCTTTCTCTCTGCGTGACTCGTCATGCTCTCGCTCGTAGTATATGTACACGATTTACTTAAGTGTAGGTGTGTGTGTGCCTGTAATTGCGTGTAAAAGTGTGTGTGCGCGCGGCCTTTTGACGCAACGTTGCCTCCTCGCCTCGCGCGCAGTTTTACCTGTAGTCTATAGTAGCAGCAGCGAGCGAGATGCCGCGAGAGAGTCAGCACGACTACGACGAGCAGCAGCGGCAGCAGCAGCAGCAGTGGTGGAGTTGCAGCGGTATAAGCGATATTATTAATTCAAGACGAGTGGCACGTGCTGCTGCTACTTTGCGGTGATTTTTTTTTTCATTCATCAAAAGTGCGCAGAGAGTGAGAGAGAGAGATACGAGCGATATCCTCGAGTGCAACGCGGAGTTATATTGTATACGTTTAAAATTATATACGAGGCCAACGACGACAGGATCCATGTATCGATCGGGCTACATCGGATAGATCTCTCGTGAATGAAAAATCACGACTCTGCGAAAAAAGAAGAAGCGGTAAGTAATCGACGCCACCGTTTTTTTTTTCATACCTACACATCTTTCTCGTGTAATCATCTCTCTCGGCCTGAGATTCGGTAGCTTTCCTCGGTTTCGATTTGGTTGTTTACCTTCCGCGTATAAACGATATATACATACAATATACATACACGCTGCTCGCGGCCACTTGTTGACTCGGCGCGCGCGTGTGTGCGTGGGTGTGTACACCGGGCCCCGATTTCTCCTATACACACGCGAATATGTATTTACGTACACATGTATATACGTTTGTGTGTATACGTACTACGAGTCACACACGCAGATCGGCTGCTTTACAAGACCGTTAAATGCTGTGTACTATATAATTGTTATTCTATATATATAACAGAGCATCGCATGCGCAATGGACACCTTTCCGGAGTCGTATCGTCCAGTCGAGCGAGTGCAGCAGCGTTGTATTACGCTCGGTAATAATATATCGTGCGCTGTATACACGCCGCGCCTTTTTTTGAAATTCACGATCGCCTCGATGTCGTTTTTAATTCTTCAGACGTAAACGCGTATACGATTTTCGAACATCGATTTTTCATTCATCGATTTAACGCCTGTTTACACATTGAAATTTAATTTAATTTTACGTTCCACCCAGGAGAGAAAATCATGAAGACGACGAGGTCGCCGCCGCCGCATCAATGAAATTCACATGAGAGAGCGAGGTGAAGAATCATGGCAGGGGCGATATGCTGGTACAATCGGCTCTTGGCGCGTCGACCCTGGCTCGTACTCGCCGCCGTGTTCTGTCTCTCGACGCTCTGCCTCGTGCTGCCCTTCGCCATCGAGGAGAAGCTGCCGGACTTCTCCGATCCGCAGATCGGCTTCGAGGCACGGGGCACTCCGCTGGCCCAGCGACTTACCGCCTGGAAGAATCTGATGGAGTCGTCGGGTCCGCGCGGCTACTTCTCCATCAATCCCCTCGAGTACTACTACTACCTTCAGGATCTGGACAGTCGCGAGAAGAGCAGCGGAGGTGGTGGTAATCGGAAGAACGGCAACGAGACATCGGCTAGTCACGCGAAGCGGCACAGGCACAAGAAGCAACAGCAGCACCTGAAGAACAAGAGAAAGCACGAGCGTGAGTTGGCCGCGAGCAAGGAGCAGCTGAGCGCCGAGATGGATCGCAGCTCGGAGAATCAGAGTCAAGTTAATAATTCCGCGCAGCCGAGCAGGGAGGAGGACGAGTTCTTCTGCAACAATCCAACCCCCGATTACTCCAAACTCGTCGTCACTTCGCTCAACGAGGAGTTCAACGCCTGGTCGCTCGAGGCCATCCAAGCCCAGTGCGAAATCGACCGCATCCTCCGCTCCAGTTCCCCTCACTTCAGCTCCCTCTGCCAGCGCAAGCTCAAATCCTCGGAACTGTGCTGTCGCACCTGGTCGCCGGCCAATTACATCGCCCTGCTGGCCAACAGGACCAGCTGCGAGTCCGTGACCGGCCAAGACGTCCAGCTGGTCCGTGCGCTGCTCGAGCGATGCGCCTTCTTCTATCGCAAGGGCGACCTCACCTCGGACTGCACCGAGAATCTCACCTGTCAGCTGCGCGTCCCCACCCAGTGCCAGCCCCACAACGCCGTCTATCATCTGCTGCACTATCTGCTGGACGCCGATTATCTCGGCCTCGTGGACAACGCCACGAACGAGCATCTGGGCGCGGCCCTGCTGATACTGCCGGTGGCGGCGAGCTCCGCCGCGCTTGACTACTACGCGGACCTGGCTCGGGCCAATCTGACGGCGGGTGATTTTCACGTAGCAGCTATGGATTTCGGCCTCAAGAGCACGCTGTTCGATCGGCTGCTGGTGGCTGACTCGGTCTATCTGCTGTTCGGCTTCTGCTTCGTCACCGTCTGCATCTGGTTCTACACCGAGTCCTGGATCGTCACCCTGTCCACCCTGCTGATCGTCGTGTTCAGCTGCGCCATATCCTACGCGATCTACGCCCTGGTCCTCGGCATCAAGCTGTTCCCCTTCATGAATCTGCTGACGCTCGTCGTCGCGGTGGGCATCGGCAGCGACGACACCTTCATCTTCTGCAAGCTCTGGGAGTGCAACAGACTGAAGCGCGAGAACAACAACGATAACGAAGCGAATCTGCTGCAGCTCGTCGACGCGACGATGAGACACGCGGTGCCGTCGATACTCGTGACCTCGCTCACCACCTCGGTGGCGTTCTTCGCGTCGATCGTCAGCAACGTCACCGCGGTCAACTGCTTCAGTCTGTTCTCGGGCATGACGGTGATCGTCAACTTTTTCCTCATGATCACCTGGTTCCCGGCGAGCGTGGTCGTGGCCGAGCGCTGGCGCAATTACGAGCTACTGCCCGCCGGCGCCACGACTTGGCTGAGCCGCTGGAGCCGATTCAACGCGTTCAGGTACCTCAAGATCGGCTGCGATCTCCTGATGCGAGCCTTCTCCTACCTGCTGGCGAAAACGGTGATAATCTTCAACGGGGTGTGGTTCGCCCTGTTTCTCAGCCTCGGCCTCGGCTGCTGCTTCGTCGTGTTCGTCTGTCCGGGCCTGCAGCTGCCCGACTCCCAGGACTTCCAGCTGCTGGCCTGGTCGCATCCGTTCGAGCAGTACGACCTCGTCTACGCCAAGCGCTTCTGGTTCGAGCGATCGCGCAACGACGACGCCAGCTACGTCCTGCCCATGCGCTTCGTCTGGGGCGTGCTGCCCCGCGACACGGGCAGCTATCTCGATCCGCGCTCGCGCGGCGAGCTCGTGTTCGACGAGGCCTTCGACGTCGCCACGCCCGAGTCGCAGCTCTGGCTCTCGGCGTTCTGCCGGAGTCTGCGAGCGCAGCCGTTCTATCAGAGCACCCTGGGCCCGCTGCTGCCCAACTGCTTCGTCGAGTCGCTGCAGGCCTGGATGGAGCGCAGCTGCGAGGACCCCATCGATCCTACCATCGATTACTCGCCCTGCTGTCGCAGCAACGCCTTCCCCTACGAGCCCGACGTGCTCAAGCACTGCGCCGCGAGGATCACCGCCGAGATCAATCGCACGCCCACGCATCTCTGGAATTTTCGCTCGTCCGGTGGTGGCTCCACCCTCGCAGCTGGACTGAAATTTCGTAAACAGAACGATACCTTGATGAAGATGATGTACGAGAGCCGAGCGAATCTGAGCAGCCTCAATCAGGCCATACCGGACATCAAGGTGGTGGTGGTCGAGTACGACAGCACGTTCAATTACAGCCTGTCGTTCGCCGAGATGGACAGCTTCTACACGCAGGTGGAGTCGTGGATGCAGCTGCAGCTGGCCAAGGCCCCGCCGGGCATGGCCAACGGCTGGTTCGTCAGCTATCTGGACTTTTACGAGTTACAGCGCACCCTGTATCACGGCACGATCTGGGCCATCGTCGTCTCGATGGGACTGGCCTTCACCGTGCTGGCCTTCGTCACGCTCAATCCCCTCGTGAGTCTGTTCGCCATGGTGGCGGTGGGGGGCTCGATCTGCGTCACCGTGGCCTGCCTCATCCTTGCCGACTGGAAGTTGAACGTGCTGGAGAGCGTGGCGGTGTCGACGGCCATCGGCCTCGCCGTCGACTTCTCGCTGCACTACAGCGTGGCGTATCGAGCGGCGGCGACCACCGCGAAGACGCGAGTCGCTCGGGTCGAGGCGGCTCTCAGGCAGATGGCCGGGCCGACCCTGATGGCGGGCCTGACGACCGGTGCCGCCGGCGCCATGATGCTGCCCTCGCAGGTGCTGGCCTACGTGCAGATCGGCGTCTTTCTCGTCACCATCATGTCCGTCAGCTGGCTCTACGCCACCTTCTTTCTCTGCTCGCTGCTGACGTTCTTCGGGCCCACGGCCCAGTTCGGCCAGTTCAGCTTTCCGAAGGCACTGCGACCTCGAGCCTCGTCCCAGGTGGAGTTCGAGGAGATCGACGCTGGAATTCCGATGACGGATATGAGGAGGAGCGAGGCCGAGGTGCTGCCGATCGAATCGCTGCCTCTTCGGCGGGACGAAGACGACGATGCTGCTGCCGAGCTCGCGATCAAAGACGCGAACGTCTGCGTGACCGAGGTACTGCTTCACGCTCCGCCGGCGAAAATCGAGGAAGAGAGTAGTTGATGATAATCGAATGCCTATTGTACAATAATTCGCTCAACTAAAAGACTGAATTTATATCGAACGAGATACTTGCCTTATATGATGGACTTCAATTTTTTTTCATGTACAAATGTTGTTATAATGCTAGACCGAGATATTTTTGTGACTATTTTGATAAGAGTAAGTTATACTATTGTAAACGATAAGACGTAAATCTAAGATTATCGATTTAAAAATTATTGTACCAGTTACCTGTTATTTCTAATACCGTCGACGACAAGAATTTTTTGTCAAATGTATTATTCCTATAAATGTAAAAAAAAAAATATTGTAATGTAATAAAGTACTTAGTGCTCGTTGAAATACGGACAAAAGTATTATTTTTAGCATAAGATTACGATAAAAGAAAAACGAATTTTCATTAAAAGCATTTTTATTTCAAAGTTATTGGCGTTCTTCACTTTTTTTTTTAATTACAAAATAGCTCGAGTATCAATCGAGTCTTTATTATTTTTCTAATAAACTTATTCCAAGGCACGCGATTACACGCTTGACTGAGAGAGAGAGAAAAAGTAAAATAAGAACTCCGTCTGCCGGCCAGCGCATCATAATGATATATTCACGGTATGTGTCTCCGCGAGCATTATATGAAAATTCAGAGCTCGGTGTTTACTCCCAGCGCATTTTATATATCGTACATATATAAGCTAGCCTCGGAGATCGTCGGGGCTCGCGGATAATAATAAAGTAAGTCCACCCCCGGTCCAGTGCTAGTGGTGCAGTGCGCCAGTACCCCTCTCGGTTCTTCGAAGCCCGACTGCGGGCGAGGGCGCGGGTTATTACGAATAATCGGCAGAGCCGCGCGCGCGCGCGCAGCTTATTGTCTATCTCAAGAATCTCAAGCTTGTTTACCGATACTCTCTCTCTTTCCCTCTCTTTCCTTGGCCAGAAAACGGACTTCTTCGAGGGGCGGAGTGCGTGTGTGTGCCGCGAAAGCTCGAGTCAGTTAAGAGCAGAGCGGAAGAAAAGTATGAGGAAGAAGCGAGGCGTACATAGACATCGCAAAGTCTACTCCAAACACTACTTCATGGAAGAAAGATATTGGTTCGATGGAGAGAGCCGGCTATACTAAGTCGAGTCTTTTCTTTTCACTTTTTTATATTCATATTAAGCTTGAATGCGTGTGACACCGTTCCGTATATTCACGACAGTGTAATTTTCCCCCACTTATAAATATATTAGGATATTGAATGCCGAAAAAATAAAACGTGACGGTCTCGTTTTCGTGACTCGCTCTCGCGATAAACCGAAGCACATTGAAATTGGGGTTGAAAGCATACACACAGGACTATTACACGGCCTCGATGACGCGATCTCGCTGATTAGCCGAAGCACGACACCGCTAATTAACCGGACAGCGGAAATACAAGGGAACAACAGCAGCAGCAGCAACGGAGTCGAGCGAGGCCACGCGAGAGCCAGCTATATAGCCCTGTGTACGTATACGAGGTATACGTTTACAATCAACTCGACACCCACACGTACGTAGTATACACATCGCGAAGAGAGAGAGAGAGAGATATATAGTACGTACGGCCGAGCGCCTCCGCAACGATGAACCATTGATAATTAGTCACAACGAGTTGCATACGTACGTGTATGTAACCAGCGCGCAAGTTTGGTATATATGTAGGTATACGGTGCACATTGTCTGCGATGAACCGGAGAGAGAGAGCGAGCTATCTTTAGATCAGGACGACCTGACACACGTGCACCAGCCGCCGCCGGCGAAACCTTATAGCCAGAGCTCTGCTGAGATTTTAAACTTTGATTGCATTTTCTATTTTCGCGCGCGCGCGCGCGCGGGGCCATGGCTGCACTGCGCCGCGGATCCTTGGACGGACTGCAAATTAATGTTTAAGCGATTAAGCCGAGAGCGAAATATATATACGCGCGAATATATATATGCTTAATTTTGCGGCGAGAGATATATACTCCTCGCAAACTATTTTTACGTGCTTCGTTCGATGAAGAACTGACGATGATTCGTATGCCGAAATCCATCTTTTTTTTTGTATGCTTGCTTTTTTGAGAATTCATTGCAGGGATTTTTTTGAAAAATATTTAAGAAACACCTATTTTCGAAGATTATATTGACACTTTTATTCGAAGTAAGTTAAACAAATAATGGAGTAAGTACGAGCTATTGCACACTTTGGTGTAATGACAATTTTGGAGTTAAAAGCACTGATGTGCTGATTGAAATTGATGAATATGAGGATATTCAATCGCGAAATATCATGGGAACATTAAAAAATATGATTTTTATAAACTGTAGCCATAAAATGACGATGATTACTTGAATAAATTACGCTTTTAGAATTTTTTTCACCTTTTTTACTCTTCTCTCACCGGCCCGGATAGCTCAGTCGGTAGAGCATCAGACTTTTAATCTGAGGGTCCAGGGTTCAAGTCCCTGTTCGGGCGTTCTTTTTGTTTTTTGATGAAATTTACAAAAATCATTGTGAATCAAACATTAATTTTGAATTTTTGTGTCAATCATTTTTTTTTTATATAATTAGAAGCAGCACAACATTTTTGCTTATAAAATTAGAAAATGTTATTTCTTATTTAATAACTAGAAAATTATTCACAATTCTATAATTGGTTGCATAATTTAGGTATACAGTTTAAATTAGGCTAAAACTTGTTACATTTTTGTAAAACTTATTTTCATACACTTCCCAGAAAATGAATATTCAAATAATTCAAGAGAACATATTTTTTTATAAAACTTTTCGTAAAATAAAAATCAATTCTATTCATGTGAAATTTCCACGCCTTAAATGCCTAATTTCTTACTTCAACGTAAAAATGATTATTGATATACTATCGAATAGATTTAGATACATATATTTGAGCGACATGAGACTTCGTATTATTGATAAAATCAATAGCTGAATCTGTACAAATTTCACGTTTATCTTTCTGTACTGTTAATGTTTCGACTCATGATTCTTCAATAGATTTCATAAATAATAATGCAGGTATTTTTAATTTACTCCACCTACATGAATTGAATTTTTGTGAATCGCCAAGAAATATGACTGATATGTTTATCTGCTGCGCTGTTCGGTGGCCATTGGCGAAATTGTCGTCGCCAACCACAACGTAGCTAATAGAACTTATGGAAAAGACTCTCGGGTACCTGCAAGTATGCAACTGCTTTGACAGGGGAGCTAGCAATTGCTCGCTGTCGTGGGTGGCCTGCTAAAATATCAACATGTTAATGTTATGTGCAAATTTTAGTCAGCATTATAATATTATGACAAATATTATATGAAGCAGTTAATACAATTATTGTAAAAAAAAGTTTTCTTAACTTGCAAATTGCAATGCAAATGCAATTCACTTAAATTGCTCATTTTAAATCTTTATAACACCGTAATTGATGACATCTAAATAAGACGTTCTCGTTTTGATTGTTGCGGATAGAATAATGTTATTTTAATGTTCCACATTTTCTTCTAATAGTTTAATTATTTTAAATCTAGGTTTTGCCCTTCTGTCATTTTTTCGCAATTTGGTTGTCTTTAATTGAGTAATCTTCGAGCCTCTTCGAACTACTGTTACCGTGCCCTGCCGGAAAGACATCATTATTTGCTTTGGCATTAATGCGAGGTCGAGTATGATGTCACTTATTAAACTATAGGAATTTAAAGTGAAAGCTCGTTGCTGCGCTTTTTTGCATGTGCATATTTTGGATGTCTTCGAAAGAGATAATATTCGCAAACTTCTGCGAAGGTAGAGCGTACGCATTATTTTAGCTTTGCCGACTCGGCAAGTAAAATGATGCAGCCATGTGTATGTAAATGAGTCTAAACAGGCCCATGGTACGCAGTTGTATTATTGATAATTTTGGTCAAATGATGCGACAAAGAGAGCTCGAAGAGTCAATATTCAATTCATGATACGTTCCTATTTTACTCAATTCAAAGCAAAAAATGAATCAATTCGAAAAAAGTATTTCTGACAGGATGATGATGATTGAGACAAAATGACAGGAAATTCCAAGGGGGAGGTACAGCAATTCTAATCAATAAAAATATTAAATGTACAAACATTGCAATACCTCATACGTTCAATATTTTAGAATGTACAATAATTAAACTAAACCTAGAAAATAAACCTTTATACATAATTGGAGCATATGTACCACCCACAAATAACAGTGGATTTACTACTGACTTAGAATATATTTATAATAAGCTCGAGCTCAATAATAATAAAATCTTACACTTAATAATTAGCGACCTAAATGCCAAACACACAAATTGGCTCAACTCAGTATCTAATTACCGAGGCAGGCAATTAAATCAGTGGCTCTGTGACAATGACTACATCTTTAATACTAAACTATTACACTCAACAACTCCAACATTATATAAAGCAAATAGCTTTATAGACCTAGCACTCATAAGCACAGATATTGACACCTCAAAGAAATTTCTTGACACACATGACTTTGAAAGTGACCATAGAGCAATCGAGCTCACTCTTCTACTTGAGAGCAATATTGAAAAACAAGATTCTAACTATAAATAGAATCTGTTATATAAAAAAACTAACAATAAAAAATTCAATAAATGTCTCAATGACTATAATTCTATAATCCCCAATGATAGAACTTAACCAACAATGAAATTGACGCCTACATTAATGAATTACAAATTGCAATAAGCAATGCTGCTAAAGCATCAACCCCAACCTACACAATAAACAATAATCTTGACAAACTTGTAAATAAAAAAATACAAAAACTATATAAACAAAAACATACTGTGCAGCCAAAAATCCACAAAATTGCACATAAGAAGGATGCTCCTTCAATTGAAATATATAAAAATTTAAAAATAGAAATGAAACAAATTAAAAACAAATTATATGCAGAATTTACTAAGGAAAGTAAACATCAATGGGAAAACATGATTAAAAACATAGATTATAGAGAATCAACAAATTTCTTTCCCAATATAAATAATGTATTCAGGAAAAAGAAAAAAAACCAATGAACTAGATAACATAATTATAAGAGAAAAACATAAAAAAATATTGGCTAAATGTGATATTGATAACCAAAATCTAACAATAATTAACAACAAAGATTACCTAGTCAATGATAAAAGTAAAATTCCTATAATTATTGGAGAATTCTTCCACTTGATCAATACCAAGGAAGAA